AAAAAAAAAAAAAAAAGGTAAAAAAAAAGCTACTAATAATGAAGGGGAAAGAGAGTCTAGGTGGCCAAAAACGTACCTAGCAGTGACAGTGGTTGCTGGGTAAGTGACTCAGCGAGACGATCCAGCCGTGGGACCTTGTACCGTACGTCCTCCCTCTGTGAGTGAGGGCGATTGAAGATCTGGTGTGGTGTCTGCCCAAAGTTGTGGATGATGCCAATCGTGGCCAGTCGTTCCACAGGGTCATCGATAGCATCAACATCTTTGGCCCCTTGGTATGACAGGTGATGGAAAACATTGACCGCTTCAATGGCGGCCTCACCTTTCTGTTTGCAACCGAATACCAAGTCTATCCAATGGTGCAGATTCTGGGTCACATAAGGACTTTCCAAAGCTTCACGGTGTTTTTGGATGAAGATTTTCGGATCGCCCTTTGCCCATGGCGGCAATTCCACAGAATCAATCGCAGTAGTCATGTTCTGTAGAACTCCGAAATCATATTTATTGGAATTGACGAGGAACTCTGGGAGGTAGAAAAATTCAGGTATCAGTTCTCTCACGTCAGACATATTCCCGCGCGAAGCGGATTCCCAAGCCTTTCCAATGGAGTAGAAAAGACGGTCAGCGTGATCGAATGTTCCACCCTGAAGTAAGAGGTATGACTTCACAAATGGCTGAAGACGGATCAGATACGAGCTGACAATCATTGCTGAAGAGTAGTGGGTTCCGTAATGAAATGGGGGAGAATTGCCCGCCCCCATCTCTGCGAAAGCTTTGTATCGTTCTCTGAACTCGCCCTCTCGCTCCGGCGTTTGGCAACCCATAGGCTTTGATAGGTCACGGAAGGTTTTTGGGTTAGTCAAATCCAGCTCCTCGCTTGTGTAATCAGCAAGCACCCAAGGGAAAACAGGGTACTGCGTCAGATCGTTGAATGTCCTTCCAGCGAGGGTGTTGATAAGCATGAGATAATGAAAGTTAGAAATTTCACCCTTCACCCACTTCCGTGTTGCGGGGTGTGCTGGTGAATGACCAAAGACGCTGGCAAATCTTGACCCGAAAGACTGAGGTGCATCTTCCGGGCTTCTAAGGGTCTCGAATCTCCAGACATCTTCTGGTCGCGAGTGGCCAACGCTCCCTGTCACTTGGGGCGCCTTAATTGCGAGTTGGCTACAAAGGTGATCCCGAGCGGGCGATGAGATGAGGGTCAGCAAATAGCTAGTTCCGTCGGTAAAGAATATTTCAAGGGCCACATCGCGAAATAGGAACCGCCTCTTGGAGACGCTGATCAAGTCCGACCACTTCCAACTTCTGGTCTCATGCTCCTGTGATTTACGTTCATTGGATTCCCGGCCAGTGATCATGCGTACATAAGGATCTCGTTCCTCTGTAGGGGCTTGCCAGACATTGACAATCTCGCCATCTGACCTCTGGAAAAAGTTATCTAGAATGTAGATGTGGTCTTTCCCAAGGATCAAAAGGCCTTCACATGCCTCCAACCCAACAATACGAGACATGTTGCAAACGCTATCGACCTGGTCACCACGGTGCAGGCTTCTCATGACCTTTCTGTTCTTGTCTTCATAGTCTTCGAGATCAGCCTTCGGGTCGTCAATCATCTCGAAGCTTTCTTCAAATACGCTCCTACTGTCGGGACCAATACCCTGCGAATTACCCTCCGCGTGGTCGGCAGCCATGGCAGTGGGAGTTAGACCTAAAGAGTCACCGTTTGGAGATGCGACATTCGTGTCTAACCTCATCGCCGGAGGCTCTGAAGCCTTTCGTTTCGGCTGGTAGTCTTGACGATCCCCTGAATCATCCGGTACAGTACGCAGTCGCATACGGCTTCGCCCTTCGGTTTGGTCAAGACGCCACCTTCGCTCTTTCTGTTCAGCAAAAACACCTCCATAACGTCGCAAGTCCATATTCAGATGTGCCAGTGCCGCCCACATAAATGTGGAACTATCCTGTTGATCCTGTAGTGCTCTTTGATATTTCAGGAACTCTGACGCTGATATATTCGATACCCAGTGGGGGAATGTAGCCTCGTGCTTGCGTACCACTTCTTCACCGAGCTTTTCCGCCTGACCCCACTGCTTCAACTTTTCTTGACGTCGAGAAATTCGAGTGCGAGATGATGACTCTAGATTCGTATTTTCTTCTTGGACAAAGGTCTCCCAGGCTTTTGATAAGATTCCGAAGAACAAGGCGTTCAAATCGTCCGCCTGGTCGTCAACCCATTGCAAAAAGGCAATATCATCCATGCCAACAAGAGCCTCAAATCCACCAGAAAGACGTTGCTGCAAGGGCGCTGTTGCTTGGCTCAGAATGGCGGACATCTCTATTGGCTTCTGCACTAGCATAATTCTAAAAAGGCCAGCCGCCGCCAATCGTACATTTTCATTCCTGTCGATCAATTTGGTGTAGAGAAGATAGCACAGCAACTGCAGATGATCGGACTGAGTTTCTCCAGAAAGCAGTACTACTTGCCAATATGATAACCGTTTTAAGAATGAAAGTGCCTCCGTACCATCGACTTCCGATAGCCCGAATAAAACCACACGGAATACTGTCGAGCGAATTGTCGCTATCGCCTGGCTGCAAAGCCTTATACTTTTAAGACGCGAGACCTCAGGTCGTTGTAGATATTCCAAGATTGTTCCTGCAAATTCAAGAGTGGCTGTGGCGCCGTCAACAAACCAACCTTCGTAGACTGCTTCTCCTAAATGCGTCGCGAAGCGCCCCAAGTTGGTTAGCACGCGTGGTTCAGACAATAGCTCGACCTTTGAGAATATGGCATCCTGGAGTGTAGAAAGAAGGCTGCGCAACACCCAGGAGTTGAAGTATGCCTGGTGCTCGGGAAATCCTGGAGGCGTCTTGAGGTAGAGTCCGAGACCAGAGAACTCCTTCCTTTCCAGCAGCTGTTCTGAAAACACAGAAAGTGCTAGATTCAGAATAGCAGTTATTAAAGGATGGTTGGTTGTGCCTTTGCTGTCAATTCTCATGTGAGAGAAAGCACGACGTATGCGAAGAGAGGACGGCACATGCTTCCCTCGATCAGAGGTGACTAAAATGAAAGATGAACCACGTCTTAAAGGTCCACCACTATCATCATGGTTCCCAGGCTGTTCAACAGTCGTTGTTTGTAGTTCAGATGTCCTTCGTGATCGTGGCCGAGACACCAAATTGTGATCATCAAACGCTAGACCACCCGTACGAGACTGGGAGTTCATTTCAAAATTCGGACTGACGGAATCGGAGCCGATAACAACGGGGAAAAGGATAGAAACCAGGCTTTGGGCGTATTCAGGACGTGCTGCAAATTCACGATAGCTTTGTGACCTTATCTGCGCTACAGCAAAAAAATCAACAACGGCGGTTAAAAGCGACAGTTGTGCACCCGTAGTACCGACAGGTGCGCAAGATGACATAGATGGCTTGGTAAGTTGAGCGAGGCGATCCTGGAGAGCATTGGGGTCCTGCCCATTCGCCACGGAGAACTCCTCAGCGAATACTGTTTGCTTCAGTCCAGACTGCAACATGTCGGAGATGACTGGGAGCATTTCAGGATAGACAACTTGGGCTTCACCGTTGAGGCAGAAAAGCTCGGAAAGAGAAAGCTGATCGAATGTTTTATCAACGTTGACCTTGCCAATATCAACACCAAATAGTATAGCAAAGCAGATAGGCCATATTATCGGGATGCTCCACCATTTCTTTAGACAATGTCGCATTATAATATAACCCCCAGTCTTATCGTTGAACTTCTTGCTGTAGCTACCCCCGTGAATTACTATCAAACGAGCCATGATCTTTGTTGCCAAAATAGCAATCTCGGGTTCTTCCTCACACATGAGGTACAAAAGCCACTGCATAATAGTCAACACTCGTTACATAATGGGTGGCATTTGCTCTACAAACCTTGTTTGTAACGGCCTTAGCGAACCTCTTGGTTGGCCCGAGATCATGTGCATTGCATAGAAGAGAGCAATACATCCTAAGCATCTCTATCGCTATCGTAGTGCTTGAAACGTACTTCATATCGGGATTGGGCGTGGGCTGTCTTGCAGCAGCATTGAATCTGAGGCTCTTCTTTTTCTGTAACCTGCTCGGCTCCTTTGGCTTATGGATACCATAGGTGATGAAGAGCGCTAGAAAACGGAGCAAATCTGCTGACAGGCAGCCTTCCATCAACGACCCAAAGGCCGAAGTGAACAGTCGCAGTCCTTCCATCGTAAATTCTTCCCCCTTAAGAGCCTCAAGTAGCTTTTTGTTGACACCTGTTTTCCATTAGTATAGAAGTGTAAAACATGCGACGACCAATGAGTCACTAGGGAAGACTTACGCATGCGGGCGAGGCGCTTTGCATTAAACCGACGAAACTTGCTTTCACTGGCAAATATGCAGTATTGGGAATAATACAACTCAATAAGAGACAGTTCGCCATATCTCCACACCTCAAGGTCCACGAGCAAGACTCTGTATGCTAGTGGGTTTGTGATGATAGAGCGATTCGGTTGATCGAAATCATAGCCGACAAAGTTAAGGGTCAAACGAAGTAGTTCGAATGCCAATGTAGATCGTTCTTCATATGTGGAGCAGACGTTGGAGGTCTTCGAGCCCGTAGAGGCACCTGTTACCGGCCATGCTAGCTTTTCGCGTAACAATGCCGCAAGGATTCCATAACCATTCTCCTTTTCCATTGCTTCGCTATTTCGCCAATTGTCCTGTACAGCCTCATAAAGCGCTTCGACTGCCAGAAGTGTAGATTCAGCACTTCTGGCCGCATGGACCAAGCTCAAATGAACCGCCGCACAGCCGCCGATACGCCAGCTCGCGTCATCCAAGGCTTGCGGTATCGCGACTACAGGGTCCCCCGTTAATATACCGATACCATGGGCCTGGGTTAAAGCATCATTGATAGCAGGGGTACCGCCATTGACCGCTACTGCATTGCCTCCAGACTTTGTTAGCTGATGCAGATTTTTGGCTGCTTGTTTTGAAAGATACTTGACGAGTCTGGTTTCATCAATATTGTTACTATCATCGTCATCTAGAATGGATAGTGGAGAAACATTAACTGCTATGCACTCTTCACGAATAAGAGTGCTTGCCTTTCGCCGGATAGCAGTAACAATGTCCGATGACTCCTCTTTACCAGCATGCATATGCTCGTTACGTAGATTCAAGGCCGCGGAAGCTTTATACGTCTGGAAGGAACCTAAACAGTCCTGAAAGTTGCCGTAGTAACGTGGACCGAGATTGTAAAACACGGCAATCATGTCGTCACTATATGCTTCCTCAAATAGAATTGCATTAGCTAGGGACCATCGAGAGGTAGAGATCCCCTTGCCAAGCCTCATAGCTAGATCTTGCGGAGTCCCGAAAAACGATTGAACTCTAGGCGGCCTATTGGGAGCGCTGGGGATTGGCATGCATGGATAATCAATCCGCAATTGTTCAACAAATTCCCCATCTATGAAGAGAGACGCCCGAGAATATGATGGTGGCCTGGGCTTTTTATGAACCACACAGATATGGTACCACCGGTTAGGCTCGAAAGTTATAGACTTGAATCGAACGCTAGGACGAGGTCCCCTGATCGAGGTCTGCAATATAAAGTTGCGAGTATCCTTCTCAAGATACGCGAGCAAGAAGCAAGTTTGGCTGGCATCAAAGGCCCCAAAAATTGTCGTGTGAGTATTCTTGTCAAACTGGTCAAAGCGTGCCCAGACCGCTAAAGTATAACCAGAAGTAGCTGCAGGTGGGAATGAGCGACCCATGGTTGATAACTCTAAAGAGCAGTATCCATGCAATGATAAATCGAACTGTATCGAGGGAGGTTCCTTCGAGCACTTCAAAACATTCACAAGGAACCGAAGAACCTTCGGGCAATCATGAGCTTGTCGGTATAAAGCAGCCACATCATTCAAGTTACTTATACCCAGAGTACAAAGCATCTTTGCCAGTTCTTGATAGAGTTGTCTCTCGGGTGCCGGGCGCTCCTCATTGAACAAAAGCGGCAGAATCAGTGTTATAGTGCCAGTGGAATGCAACGTCGTGATATTCCTCTGGGACTGTGCGGCGAGTTGGACTAGACATGCCGGCACGGCTAGTCTCTGGACTCTGTGCTCGGATATGGAGGCAGACGACTGGGTAAGCCATACTCGGACAAATGGGCCCAGGAGCTCTGGTACTTCGACTGTTTCTGATTTTCCTACGCATCGGTCCACTTCTTCTCTAATACCATCCAAAGATAGCTCCTCGGCAGTTTGGAATTTAGTACTCAGGGTTGTGAATATACTGGCAACTGTCTCCTGGCAAAGGGCCGCTGCTAAGATCGCACCGTAAAATTGCTCCGTATCACCTTGGTTGGAGTCTACTTTCCTAGCCAAGATCGTGAAAGCTTCTTCCAATGCCACTTCTCCTCCCCCAGTGATCCGGTTCGCGAAATACCGTTTGTTCCCGACATGATCCCTTAAGCTCTCAGCTAGGACTGCTAACGCATCTTTGTACACGGAAAGCAGATCCTTCCTCTCATCCTTGGATGACGCATGCGAATCATAACATTGTGAAACCTTTCGGAGAAGGTCTAACAGGGTCTGAAAACCATGTAGGTATCGGAAGGTCTCCTTCGCCTCTCTTGGGTGCTCGTTATCGATGAATGTGTGACGAAGGCGAAGCAGACATTCGGTTGCAGTGGAGGCGACCTGGGACGTTACTATACCCTCTCCGCAAGTAACTTTCAGCTTATCAAGGACAGGACTTAATTCGGGGGCAGCCGGCCGTTGGGTTGATGAGGACGGGGACCGCGAGAGGGCGGAAGTGGACCGGCTCATTGCGCCGCTGAAGCTTATCCCCGACTACCTATTCGATGGCCAGAGACCATCAGACACCATGAACCAGCACTTAGCGTAAGGATGAAGGCGGTCTGCATTGGTATGTGTTATGGTAGCTAGTAGTGAATGCAATCCACACAGTTACCCAACATGGCACAGCCGTAGGGAAGGAGGGAAACGGAAGGGAGAGCTGACGAGTCAGACGATCAACAATTGTACTACTCTAGGAATGGGGAAGAGGCCGATTGTGTCAAATTCAGCATTAGGAATGAGGGTTATCCCGGTCAAGGTCGGAGTTGTGAGTCGAGAGCAATAATTCCCTCTACACCCTCAGGATGGTTCCTGAATGTGATAGACGGTCCTATGCCAACGTCACTGGAGGCAGTGCCGTTAAGCGGGGGGCACATCGGGAGCATGGGTGCATTTTCCAGCTCTCAGACCTAGGTGATTATCAGGTGACAAAGCCTCCGACCATCGGCGGGCCATCATTGGTGGAGAGATAAGTATCGATAAGGGAGGTATGTCTTATCTCCCGCAACGCCCGACCGCCTGTATTGTACGAGAGGGTAATGCACCTATGGTCTCTCGCGGTTTCCGTACGATCGGCTTCTTGTCAAAGTCAGGCGAACAACGGAAGATGGACGTGCTCCCATGGCACGCGACTCGGGTTGCCCGGGAAGGTGGTTGGTCGTGGCGACCAGTCGCCAACGCCCATTGACCTAACATGCCAACTCTTCTCGTTTCAGGAACCTAATAAGCAGTACCACTTTGAGGAGATGGTCAGGTACTGTACCTGCAGTACTCCGTACCTCGATGGCAACAGGATTTTAGGATTTATTCTTAAAAAAACTACCATAGGATAATACTACCTATCGTTCAAGGATGACTTTCGGATTTGTTGGGAGGGATATTTCACCCTGATAGGGACATATATATGCATAGTATATCCGTATAAAGTACGACTATGGCGGTTAAGCCGAACGAATCAACTTAGGCAGTTACTCCAGAATGGGTACCTTGTTCATCGTTGACTCACCACTCGAGCTATCCTTGGAAGAGCTCCAAAACATACTTGCAGAATACAGGGTGCAGACTCCACTCATTCGCCTCATTTTTCGACACCGTTGTGCCTTCGTCCGCCGATGGCGTCCATCCATGGAACCTGAGCGTTATTTACCGGGGGCGACTAATCACTCCGAAAGGTCCCTTTTTGGGGATCCATCATCCATACCCTCTTACCGCCATACCCCAGGTCTTGCGACCGCGCTAATCGGGAGAGATCGACGCGCGGCACCTCCTCAGTAGGTAAACCTGTGTCATCATTGTAAATTACCGTATCCCGGTTGCATCATCCTCCGCTGCCCTTGCCTGCTTGAGGGATCGACCTATTAAGCCCCAGCTGCTATCTTACACCTGCTCCCATCCTCCTCCTCTTCTCCAACTCCTCATCCATCCATCCTTCTTCCTCCTTCTTCCTTTTAACCTCCCCCCCCCAACTCAGCATCAATCCATCCTTCCATCTTTTCTTTCTTTTATCTTCATCTCGATTTGTATTCTTTTCTCTTAGAACCCTCCCTTCCCCCCTTCTGTACGTTGTGTTAAGACTTCGCTCCTGTTGCCCATCATGAGAGGCATTCTCAGCCTTTTCCTGCTGCCACTCCTGGCAGCAGCCTCCCCCGTTGCCGTTGACTCCATCCACAACGGAGCGGCTCCCATTCTTTCGGCCTCAAATGCCAAAGAAGTTCCAGACTCTTACATCGTCGTCTTCAAGAAGCATGTTTCCTCTGAAACGGCTGCTGCTCATCACACCTGGGTGCAGGACATCCACGACTCGATGACTGGACACATCGACCTGAAGAAGCGCTCTCTTTTTGGGTTCAGTGATGACCTCTACCTCGGTCTCAAGAACACCTTCGATATTGCCGGGTCCCTGGTGGGTTACTCGGGACATTTCCATGAGGATGTGATCGAGCAGGTCCGGAGACATCCTGATGTAGGTTACCCCCTCGGCCTAACCGTTTCTTGAAGAGCTATTTATCTGACTTTGTTTTCAAGGTTGAATACATTGAGAAAGACACCGAAGTCCACACCATGGAGGAGACAACCGAGAAGAATGCTCCCTGGGGCTTGGCTCGTATTTCTCACCGTGACAGCCTCTCATTCGGCACCTTCAACAAGTACCTGTATGCGTCAGAAGGCGGTGAGGGTGTCGATGCTTATACTATTGACACTGGTATCAACATCGAGCATGTTGATTTCGAGGATCGTGCACACTGGGGAAAGACCATCCCTAACAATGATGAGGATGAGGATGGCAATGGACACGGAACTCACTGCTCCGGAACCATCGCTGGTAAGAAGTACGGTGTTGCCAAGAAGGCCAACATCTATGCCGTCAAGGTCTTGAGGTCCAGCGGTTCTGGCACTATGTCCGATGTCGTTCTGGGTGTCGAATGGGCCGTCCAATCCCATCTTAAGAAGGCTAAAGACGCCAAAGACGGCAAGGTCAAGGGCTTCAAGGGCAGCGTTGCCAACATGAGTCTTGGAGGTGGCAAGTCGAAGACCCTGGAGGACGCTGTCAATGCTGGTGTCGAGGCTGGTCTTCACTTCGCCGTTGCTGCTGGTAACGACAATGCCGACGCCTGCAACTACTCCCCTGCTGCCGCTGAGAATGCCATCACTGTCGGTGCCTCGACCCTTCAGGATGAGCGTGCTTACTTCTCCAACTACGGAAAGTGCACTGACATCTTTGCTCCGGGTCTTAACATTCTCTCCACCTGGACTGGCAGCAAGCACGCTGTCAACACCATCTCCGGAACCTCCATGGCTTCTCCTCACATTGCTGGTCTGCTGGCCTACTTCGTTTCTCTGCAGCCTGCCCAGGACTCCGCCTTCGCTGTCGATGAGCTTACTCCTGCCAAGCTCAAGAAGGATCTCATCTCCATCGCCACCCAGGGCGCCCTTACTGATATCCCGTCTGACACCCCCAACGTAAGTCCCATTGTCCATTTTGGTATAATGAAAAACGAAGATGCTAACTGTTGTATTCCAGCTTCTCGCCTGGAACGGTGGTGGTACCAACAACTACACCCAGATCGTCGCCAAGGGTGGATACAAGGCCGGCAGTAACAACATTAAGGACCGCTTTGACGGACTGGTCAACAAGGCCGAGAAGTTGCTCGCTGAGGAGCTTGGAGCTATCTACAGTGAGATCCAGGATGCTGTTGTTGCATAGATGCAAGACAAGACTCATTTAGAGAGACATAACTAGTTTCGTTTATGGCAGGGTATGGGAATTGGCTAACCGAACACTGGCGCTGGTATTGGTTTGCTGCTTTTTTTGGTATCACGGAGAAGCTGATGCATTGACTGCATTGAGTACATTATCCTGACACGGTTTATTTAGTCTTTATTATTATAGTATACATGTCCACAACAATGTTTGACATCCTATCTAGAGATACATGTGCTTGCTTTTGAACAGACTGCCAAATTGATTATATGACTGTTCTCCATGGATGATCGTGGCTTGGTTTTGAAGGTTGCCGTAAAGACAAATGTTGGCCACCAATTAGGTAGGAGCCTCGTTGCACATAGCCAGGTTGCGCTCATCAGTGAAGGAGATCGATATATCCATGAAACTTACCCATATGTTGTGGGAGGTCGTCTCATTCTAAATCGTATCTATCACTCTAGTGACCTTAAAAGAGGCATGCTAACTGGCCATCGCACAGCTCCACACCGGGTTCAACCCAACCACTGCACGAGATTGAATGCTCTTCAGCAGGCTATCATAGTTTCTCATCTTCTACCGTACTTTCAGGTTCTAATGAGAAGACGGGCTAGGGAGGCAGATGACCCGGCAGCGCCTAGAAGAACTGTATGGCTAGTACCGATATTATATTTAATTAATTGCTTAGGGTGTTTCACCACCATTAAGAGCAAATCAATAAACCTTTACTTTACCTATGCTACCTAAGCTTATGGCATCAAGATATTCTACGTACGTAAGAGATCGTCATTATCTAGAAACCGTTCACGATTTATATATATATTTGTATTGTTCATGCGGAACAAGCAAGAATTAGCTATACCAGGCCAAAAAAAAAAAAAAAAAAAAACCTACTAAAAATTAAAACTAACAATAAATAAATACAAAAGGGAGAGAGTCTAGTGATGTTTATCTTGACGTCCATCTCTGTATATTCATGGACAAGAGTTTCACTTACTCTGTAGTTTGGCTGTCATATAACTGAATGACGGGGGTGTATGTAACAGTACAAATGGGGGCCATGTGGGCAACCACACCCGATGGGCGGTCTTTTCAGTTTCTGGTCCGGAAATGAAACGTTCCATGGGAGAAATTTAGATGATGCTTTTGAGTGAGTGAATTACGGAGTACGATTGCTGGTGATGAGTGATTGCCACAATCATCAGTTCGGGTTGAGGCGTTCAACATCTACGGTACGTTTAGTCACATGAATCTGGGCATCTTGGCCTGGTATGCTGATTTTCGCAAGAGATCCACCCGGTGCCAGGTATGCTACATTTTCTCAGTGGACTGGCTCGGTCTTCTTTTCCTCTTTCAGAGGTGGTTTCGCTGATGGAGCTCTTATTCTTGGCCCTGATTCACCCCCGACTTACTCCACGGGGCTAAACTACATGGGGATTCTGGGACAACTTTCCAGGATCTTATGAACAGATTGTTTGAAGGGGATGGATGCTATGGTAGATACCTATGTCCAGAAATGCTAGAGCTCAGCCGTCCCTGCGCCCACGCTATGCCATGAACTAACGCCTGCGAAGTCCTTACGCCAAAACTTCAAAATAAAGGAGAGACCCACGAAAAAAAAAAAAAAAAAAAACCATAAAAGAGAAGGACGAGATCAAGCCCGCCCCTTCTTCTCCTCGTCATCCTCTTCCTCATCACTGCCAGTGTCTTGATCGTCAAAGTCCATGTCTTCGTCCGAGTCGCTCCCTCCGAACACGTCATCGTCTGCATCGCTCTCCGCCCAGAAATCCGAATCGTCCTTCTCTACGGGCTTAACTGTTGCCGGTTGGTGGGTCGGCATGACGAAGCCTTCGGGGATGTCTTGCTTCGAGATCTCGACGTCCTTCCGAACGCGCGACTTGTATTCCTCAGGTTCCTTCCGCAGCGTCACGCCGGCGTCGACGTTGGCGGGGGACGATACTTCCGCGTCGTCTAGTAACGAGAGGATGGAGATTAAGACGGATTCAACACGTTGAGCAGGGGACCATCGCTCCGAGGCCAGCTCGCCCGACATTTCATCTTCGCCTGGTGCGTGGAGAATCGAGATGCAGAGTTTCCCATCAGGATAGATGTTGGGGTGGTATAGAGGGCGTCGAAAGGCGAACTCTATGGGTGAAGATGCCGAGTCAGTCGTTGTTACAATTCCTGAGCCGTGGGTTGACGGTGCTGCTTACCTGGGGGCGAAAAAGGATAGTTTTTGGGAAATTTCATGGACGCCTTAAAATAACCGCCGTAGTACAAGGAGTCGGGGTTGAGGACGATTAAGCCGATAGTCCACCTGAAGATATCCTCGTTTTCGAGCTGGCAGAAAGAAGACTGTTAGCTAAGGCCAGTCGCACGAAGTGTAGGACCCTGGTAAGTCTTACCTCGATATTGACCCATGGCTCCTTGGCGAGGGTCTTGTATTCGTTCATCAAGATACGTTCGGCCATAGTGAGCGGCGGCGGCGGAGGCGGAGGAGGAGGAGGAGGCGGCGAAAGAAGGATAGGCTGTCGGCGACTAAGGAATGGCAGTGGGACTATTCTTGAGGGTTGGAGACACCAGATGACTGTAGAGGCGTAGGGTTACTAGGGTATCCCCAGTGCAGGATGATGTTCTGTCAATGGGCGGGACGATCGTTCTGTGAGGCGATAAGATTCCGCCCTTTTTCAACGTTTGCACACTAGTCTGGGCGTGGCAATCCCCACGGAAAGTTCCGGAGTGGCGCTATGGAACAATTGGGACTTTTCTGTGGGTTCCTGTACCCGCTCAGGGGAGGGAAAAAAATTGAAAAAAAAAAAAAAAATAAAAAAGTCAAATCAAATAATGGAGGAAGAATTTCTTTGGTGTTAGATGCGTTGCATTACTAACTCCGGTGTTGTTACTTGTTGCTCGTGAGTTTCGAGCCACTTTTTCTTACTTGCCCTTTCACCTGGGTTGTTCTCCACTTTGTCTATTGGTAGTGTTCCTCCCAAAACCTATCTATGAGAAATAGGCCACTACCATCTAGTCTAGTCTACTAATAGGCCAGTCGCCTGCGTTCCTGGGGACCTGGGCAGGTACCTCGACATCACTGCATTTCATTGGTGTACAGGATCAACATCACCCGAGGAGCAAAAAGGTGGAGAGGTATTCCTTTCAAGTGGGGTTTTCACCTACGCCCGGTTCGCTTGAAGCCGACGGAGTCGCAGCTGTCCATACTCTAAGGGATCTAGTACGAGCGAAGTTATCCCGCCTATCTCGGAGATAGAGATACGAATTACCCAATTTGGGAGTCGGGGAAGAAGTTTTTGAGTCAGAGCTCTCTTTCAATCCTTCCTGCAGGTTACATTGCCATCAAGTGACTCACCACCGTAATCTATCCCTACCGACGCTTGGTCCGTTGCTGATGACACTGAAGAACGAAATGACGAATCTTATAGGTAGGACGATACTCCATACTCAGAAAAATCGCCAGTAGCTTGACATCTCTTTTGGAAAAATTGAACAAAAAGGTAACCCAAGCTGCCTGGGACTGAAGGTGTGACATATATGCACCGTATTCATTATGCAAAGTAGTATGCAGGAAAAAAGCACAGACATTGACTCTCTACTAGTTCCAAGGTCCAACCCTGCTAGCCAGTATGGAGGTATGTACATACATAGTACTACCTATCTAGAGTTTAAGTTATAGATATGGAGAGAGGAGAGAAAACAGGGCAATCTTATACGAAGAAGAATAAATTACAAATAAATATACTAGCGCACACTAGAGATAGCTTGATATTTTCCTGAGTTATATACTAATACCATGAATTGACCTTAGGAAGGGTAGAAGCGGTGATATCATAGGTTAATACGGGCTGTCATGGGAGCAGCTGCAGCCATCAGATAATAATTTCGAGCCGATCGTGTTCAAGTTTCTCACGCAAACTCTGTCACCAATAGGCTGAGATCTCCTTCCCCCCTCCTTCTTCCGCCAGCCGTCAATTTCAGTTAAAAAGAAAAGAGAAAAAAGAAGTGACTCGAACATCATCAATTAATTAATACCCGCCGGTTCTGGGTTCTGGATCCCTCGCACCAGGCGGTGGGGAACGTACTAACAGTAGTAGCCTAGGGAATCCACCCTTGTTAAGTTCTCTCCCTCCCCGTCCCACTTCTTCCTAACTGCTCTCTTCTTGGCCTTACTCTCTGTCCTTCCGTCATCCGTCGTTTTCCCTTCCCTTCCATCTTTTCTTTTCAGATGAGCTTGGGTTCACCTTGATTTATCTACCCACTCCATTGTCACTGACGAAACTTCGTAGGGCTCCTTGGTGCCCTCGCAATTCGTCATCTCTTGTCAATTGCCTTCTTGTCTTTCGTTCGCTTTTCTTCCGATTGCCATGCTAGACTTGTCTGGCAACACAACCTCCGCAGACTGCCAATAACGCGAGTGGCTGTTGCATAGCCTATCGTCCTGTCGTCCTCCTCCAAGCGGGTCTCTGTCGCCAGGACCTGAACGCGAGGCGGATGATTTGCCCGGGTCTCTCAATTTTACAGTGATTTTTTTTATCGTCCGCCTGTCAGAAATGTCGCCGGAATGCCATGGCCCCATTTGGGCCATCGATGACGTTTCCCGTTGCTTTCAGCGCAAGTATGATCGGCACCCTTCCCAATTTACCTTCTAGATGTGATTGAAGACTCGTATACTCACCATCGTCAATCGCAGTTATCTACAAGTAATTTTGCCACTTACCGCATGTGGGCTCTCGCTCTTATTCATCGTACTTCGCATCTCCTATCGTTATTTAGTGTCTCGAAAAGGTGTCTCGTATAAGATCCTCGTGGATAATGCTGCGGAAACTGGTGCCCAAGTGGCCGAGGAGCATGGAGAAGAAACGGATCGGATGTTATCCAAGGCCGCGGAAGAGGAATTGTTACAATTTGAAGTCGATCGTCCCCGAGGCGAAATCGCTCTGATAACGCTCGAAGTAGTTGCGCTTCTGGGAGAAGTGGCCGTCTTCATCGCGGTGCTGTGGACAAATACCTGGGGCGACAGCGGTAAACTCTCTGCTATAGCGAAGCTAGTTTCGTGGAGTTATATCCTATTTTTGACATTGGTTCGCTTGCTTCTCTCTACTCTGGACTTGCATCTGCTGCCCAGGATTTGGAATCATACCGCTTGTCTGTACGGGCTTCAGTGGTTGTTCAATATTCTTGTGTTCCGGTCCGCCGTCATTCATCCCGTCTCAAGGCGTGCTACAATCTTCACTGCGGTGGAGTTTTCTCTATCTACACTTCTCCTTCTCATTGCAGTGACTACGCGCAGAGGAAATAAGGCCGTATTAGTTCCACACGAGGATGGTATCCAGCCAGCGAGACATCCAACTGCCAGCTTGATCTCCTTAGCAACCTTTTCCTGGCTAGATTCCCTCATTTTAAAAGGTTACAGACAAGCTCTGGAGCTCGACGACGTTTGGAATTTGACCTCATCCCAAAAAGCAGCAACCGTGCTGGAAGACTTTCGCCGACGGCAGTATAAGGGCTCATTGGTTTGGAGACTTGGTCGTTATTTTTGGCCTACGCTCTTGTGGCAAGGTTCATGGACGATTTTCTCATGCCTTTTTACCTACTTACCTACTCTGCTCCTCAAGGCAATCTTGGAATATGTGGAGGATCCAAGGTCAACCACTGCGAATGCCGCTTGGCTGTTTGCCATCATGTTGTTCTGCTCGGGAGCTATTCAGGGTGTTGCGGACGGACAGGCTCTCTGGATAGGGCGCAAGCTAGGCGTGAAACTTCGCGCCATTATTATCGGCGAGATCTACGCCAAAGCTCTGAGGCGTAAGGCGGGAGCCTCTGGAGATGCGGGCAAGAAAAAACCCGAAGAAACTCCTCCCAATAGTAAGAAGAAGAGGGCCTTTACCTTCGGCCGAAAGAAAAAGAAGGCCACAACGACAGATCCCGAGTCAGAAGGGCAGAACGCGAAGGAATCTGGAGACGACGATGCTCACTCGGCCAATACCGGTAACATCATCAACTTGATGGCTATTGACTCCTTCAAGGTCAGCGAGGTGGGTGCTTACCTTCATTTCCTGTGGGCTAGCGTGCCGGTGCAGATCACTATCGCCGTCACCCTTCTCTACCGGCTTCTTGGGTTCAGCTCTTTCGCTGGCATTGTCATCATGGTTTTCATGTTGCCGGTGAACCTGTTCATCGCGAAGCAATTTACAAAGGTCCAAAACCAGATCTTGGCTTCAACCGACGCTCGCATACACGCCACCAATGAGATTCTGCAGAACATCAGGATCATCAAGTATTTCGCATGGGAGCAGCGCTTTGAGGATACCGTCAACGAGAAACGCAAGGCGGAACTCAAGGCTTTACGCTACCGCTACATTATCTGGTCCACGGCAGCAACCGTCTGGTACGGAACACCACTTATTATCACCTTCGCTTCCTTTTTCCTGTACACCGTTGTTGAAGGGAAGAAGCTGACACCGTCGATTGCCTTCCCGGCCCTGTCGATGTTCTCCTTGCTTCGTATTCCGTTGGATCAGTTGGCCGATATGGTGGCTCACGTCCAAGAATCAAAGGTCTCTCTGGACCGTGTGGATAAATTCCTCAATGAGGAGGAAACTCAGAAATACAGCCAGTTGGAAGATAGCAACCCTGCTGGACAGCCACCTAGGATTGCGCTGGAGAATGCCACACTTACTTGGGGAAGCTCCAAAGGCCAATATAAAGATGACCCGCAGAGTGATACTGCAGACGCATTCCGCTTGATTAATATCGATGTATCATTCCGGACTGGCAAGTTGAATATCATTACTGGAGCTACAGGCTCTGGCAAGACATCTCTTCTGATGGCACTCTTGGGAGAAATGAAACTCCTGGACGGTAGTGTTCATTTACCCGGTGGAACCTCTAGCCGGACAGAACTTCCGGTCGACCCACAGACAGGTCTTATGGAGAGTGTGGCGTACTGTGCGCAGGAAGCGTGGCTAGTCAATGATACCGTCAAGGGAAATATTGTTTTTGCCTCACCTTGGGATCAGCGTCGCTACAATGCTGTGGTAAAGGCCTGCGCTCTGGAACGAGACTTCAGTATCCTCGATGCCGGTGATCAGACTATCGTAGGAGAGAAGGGTATCAGTCTTTCAGGAGGACAAAAGCAGAGAATATCCCTCGCCCGTGCCATCTACAGCAGGGCCCGCCACCTCTTGTTGGACGACTGTCTGAGTGCCGTAGATTCCCACACAGCCAAGCACATTTTCCGAGAGGCTCTCCTAGGACCGTTGATGTTTGACCGAACCTGCGTGCTTGTTACCCACAACATCGCTCTGACTGTCCCGCAAGCGGAGCATGTCATCGTCCTGGACAACGGTAAAGTGACCGCCCAGGGACATCCGGACAAGGTAGCAGCGTCCGGAGTGCTCGGCGATGAGCTTCTCAAGTCACGACCCACATCTAGATCTAGCTCTCAACGTCCTTCTCGAATGCCGACCGATCTCGGAGACCGCCATGAGGACGAGCCGCATGCCACTAACGGTGGAATCACCAACGGCTCGGCCGGAAAAGGCCAAAAACAAGAGGAGGCACGACCTAAATTGGTGGAAGGAAAGGCTACTGGTAGTATCAAGTGGTCAACCATCAAAATGTACCTTCTATCTATGGGCTCATGGTACTACTGGACGGGCGCCTTGTGTGTTTTCTGCTTGCAGCAACTGGGATCTGTATCGACGAATATTTGGATCAGACAGTGGGCCAACTCCTATCATACCGAGGATCTCGGAACAGACGATGTGGGAGACTACGCTGCCATAACGAGTTTCAAGATCCCGTCATTCAATGCTGGGGGTGTCCCACGAACCTCCACACAGAGTGCCCCCCACTTTGGTACGCGGGCTGCCACGGGGACCTACGGCGATGTTAATGTTGCCTACTATCTCGGTGTATATGCGATTCTTGGATTGTTTTACATCATGATTTCCTTGGTCAGAGAGGGTGTTCTGTTCTGGGGCTCCCTGCATGCATCCAATCAGATCCACAAGCGTCTTTTGAAAGCCGTGATGCATGCTAAGTTCAAGTTTTTCGACTCGACACCTCTTGGTCAATTGATGAACAGGTTTTCCAAGGATGTTGAAGCTGTCGACCAAGAAGTTGCTCCGGTGGCCATCGGTATGCTTCATTGTCTTGCCACTGTGGTGATGATTGTGGCTCTGATTTCCGTGATAATGCCCGGTTTCTTGATTGCGGCTGTGTTTATTACGTTGGTCTACTTTGCACTGGGAGCTGTGTACTTGAATGCCTCTCGTGATCTCAAGCGACTAGAGTCTGTGCAAAGAAGTCCTCTGTATCAGCAGTTTGGCGAGACCCTTAATGGGATTGTCACTATTCGTGCCTACGGCGACGGGCCTAGGTTTATTGTGGATAATCATCGGCGCATCAACGACTACAACCGGCCGCACATTTATCTCTGGGCCAGTAATCGCTGGCTTGCCCTTCGCGTTGACTGGTGTGGTGCCTTGGTCTCCTTCTTTACTGCTGTCTTTGTCCTGCTCAGTATCGGAAAGATTGACGCCGGCGCTGCTGGTCTTGCGTTGACATACGCAGTTACATTCACGGAGAACGTTCTCTGGTTGGTCCGTCTCTATTCCGAGGTTCAACAGAACATGAACTCGGTCGAACGAGTGAAGGAGTATCTCGAGGTAGAGCAAGAGGCGGCGGCGGTTATTCCGGACTCGAGGCCGCCAGCCCACTGGCCTAGCGGCGGAGCCGTTGAATTTACCAACTACACTACACGCTACCGACCGGACCTTGATCCTGTCCTTCGTAACGTTTCCTTCACTGTGCAACCGGGTGAAAAGGTCGGCATCGTGGGCCGCACGGGTGCGGGCAAGAGCTCATTGGCCCTGGCTCTCTTCCGTGGACTTGAAGCTGAGAAGGGACGTATAGTCATTGATGATGTAGATATTGGCTCTATTGGGCTCCGCGACCTGCGAGAGTCTATCACGATTGTGCCTCAAGACCCGACTCTTTTCACAGGCACCATCCGGAGCAACCTCGACCCATTCAATCTCTTTACGGATGAGGAAATTTTCACGGCGCTCCGCCGGGTTCACTTGATCGGCTCTGGAACATCAGGAACCGCAACTCCTGTGGCAAATAGTGCAGAACCCATCGCGACGGCGAATGGCACTGTTGTTCTTGACAATAAGAACGTCTTCCTCAACCTGGAGACACCGATTTCGGAGTCTGGATCTAATCTGTCCCAAGGGCAGAGGCAGCTTATGTGTCTCGCCCGTGCCCTTCTGAAGGACCCCAAGGTACTGATGATGGATGAAGCGACGGCTTCCATTGACTATAATACCGATGCCAGAATCCAAGAGACGCTACGTGAACTCCGAGACAGCACGATCATCACGATTGCGCACCGCTTGCAAACCATCATTGACTACGACAAGGTGCTGGTGCTCGACCATGGCCGTGTGGTGGAGTACGACCATCCGTGGACGCTCATCAACCGGGAAGATGGTGTGTTCCGAGGCATGTGCGACAACAGTGGGAACATGGAGACCCTTCTGGATGGTGCCAAGAAGGCCTGGGAGCATAAACGGCTTGTGGATGACTCATAGACTTTACAAATAGCTTCTGTTCTGCATATTTATTTTTCCTGACCCTTTGTCAATCTTCATCCGAGCGAAGACCAAAAGCTTTCTAGGCTCAGGGTATTATTCTGTATTGTTAATTATATTGGGCGTATAAAGGAATGTGCTCTTGAGTTAATATAATAGTTTGATCTACGTTAGAGTTTCTAGTTCCTAATACCTGGTGTTGACGATAGAACGATAAATAGTATATCGCAATGTATAACTTGATGACAATCTATGGATATTGCCCCGTCTTTCGGGCGTGGAAGAGTATGTGGAAGCATGACCGTCGTCGAGAGTCGTTCTACGCTACCCACTGGTTGAATTGGGGGAGGGGGGCTTTTTTTCAATCATCATTCCTATGATTAGTAACGCAAATCAAGATCTTGTTCAAACAAACATAAAAAAGTCTGTTAGTGGGAGGCGGAACTCTCGGATGTGATGTAGTGGAAAACACGGATTACACTTTTTTTTCATCGCCAGGAGAATGGAGTTTTAGGGCATGTCCACGAGGAGTGACTCTTTTGGATATATGGATATATATGGCTTCCGTGTATTAGCACAGCCTTTTTAAAATACTCTTGTCAGGGAGTAGAAGTTGTTGTAGAAGTCGTAGTCGGAGTAGTCCTACTTGTAGTAGAAATAGTAGAAATAGTCCAAGAAAAGTAGAGTCGTGAATCATGATCTACAAACAAGATGGGCGGCTAAACCCGATCACGCCTAGCTCCACCTACTTTAATTCCGATAGGATCCGCGACTCCAAACAGTCGATCAACCACCAGCAGCAGCAGCCGCTGCTGCTGCTGCAAGACCGGAGCTTTGCGGATATACCAATTCCGCCAGTCTCTATCGCTGGAGCCTAGCGAAAACACTCATTTAATGATATCACCGGTGCCACTGAATTCATCCTGACATAAATTTTCACTGCCGTATGACCGGCGACGCCGCGTAAGTCCCGGCTGCCGAACCATGAACCGTGGCGTCTCGTCTAGCAAAAAGACTTCATCTTGCAAAGTCAATTACAGCGGACGTTGGCTATTAAAGGTGGAACAAACTTCCAACAGGAATTGTCTGGATGTCGTGATGCAAATGGACGGCGATAAACTTCTGCGCCTCTTGGGTGTGGAGCTGGGGGGCAGAGCCCAAAATAGGCCATTTCATCATATGGTTACATTGATAGGTCAGTGATTCTAGATCGACGTCGGCTGCCTGAATCTATAAGAGTGGCCAGTGGTGTTTGTTCACGTTCCTCTACTTCGGAAATCTTTAATAAACCTGTGCTTGCGTGTTTGGTTTAACAGGTTATACAGACACCCACTGCGTCCCCAGTGCAACAAATTTGTATCAATAAAACCGCTCGACTGGAATTATAAGTCACATAATCATGCGTATCTTTTCTGCCTTAAGCAGCCTCCTTCTGGCTGGAGCTGCCCTCGCCCAGAGCTCCGACTGCGCGCCCAAGTCCGGTGATGTCCAGACTGTTCAGTTCGCCTGGGCTCTCCAGTATCTGTCCGAACGGTTCTGGTCGTCTCAACCTCTCAACCAGACCTTCCTGAACAATGCCACCAACGCCTCCAGCGCTAACTATGAACCCAACTTCAAGGGCATCACACGCGAGAACCGTCTGGGCGTCCGTGCTGTGCAGCAGATTGGCAAGGGCCTTTCCAACTTCACCGCTCCTCGTTGCAACTTCACCATCCCACAAGCCCAAGATGCCAACAGCTTCCTCAAGAATGCTTTACAGGTTGAGCAGACCGTCGCTGGTGGCCTTATTGGCCTGGCCGCCTACACCCAATCCCCCGAGGTCTCCTTCCTCCTAGCTCGTCTGGCTGCCCAGCACAGTGCGCAAGCCGCCTACCTCGGCTCTGAGCAGAACTCCACTATCTTCCCCTCGAACAGCACCTCTTTGATCCCCGCCTACACCCCCGACCAGCTCCTCAAGACCGGCAACCAGACCGGCCAGCTGGGTACCTACCTCAGCCAGTGCGTGACTGCGCCCGCCGGCCCCTGCGGCCAGAAGGTCAACATTGGCCCCCTGGTTGCAACCCTGAACTCCACTAGCACTGGCGGTGGCAGTTCTAGCTCTGCATCCCCCTCCAGCACCGCTACGGAGACGTCGTCTGCCGCCACCGCGACTAGCACGTCAACAGCTAGGAGCAGGAAGTACTTCTAAGCTTCGGATCGAAGAATTCAGGGTATATCGACAAGTCAACCGTGACAATCCGCCAAAGATATGCTTCGCAACTTTAGGGTTGGTAAGAAAGATTGAGTGATACTTATGATGACCACAATTCATGTATCAACCACGTTCTGTAATCATCTAATTTATGTTCCAATGTGTGTGGGGGTAATATAATGCGTCAGGTTTGGATGGATTCTGTGTTATAGTTGGTTTATATAATAGTTTATAGTTTCTGGATCTATAGGTCAGAGAATCAATATGTTTATTATGAGAGATGGCTACTTGTTCTAAACCTAGGCTTAATCGTTGTTAACCAATTGGCCAACCCAACGTAACTGAATGACATAGTAGATCGTGTACCTTATGATAAATGGACATATTTTATAGCAAGATGGTTGACTTTTTAAACCTTCGGGTCATGGGGCTCTTGGAACGCGGATAGCTTCACAAACTATTTCCGGAGAAGCCTTTTTTGACGTCTAATGTACAATGCCAGGATTGTTACCCAATGTGTCTAAGAGAAAATGATTATAGGGTAAGTGTCTTTTACTTTATTGAAAAATAATAGTTTACTGAACAATTCAGTGGTATCTAATGTTGATTGTTAATAGTTCGGGTTTGTCGAATACTAAAGCTCGGGATTAACATAGGGCCCGAATGAAGCTTGGGGAGTAAATGTTCGTTCACCATTTGCCTCAACTCAACCGGATAATACAAAGCGCTGAAAGTATTTAAAGCCATCAATATCACCCTGTTATCTCAAAATGTACTATCTTCATAGCCCATCTACCCTTGACAAACGATCTGATTAACAAAATGATTCTCTCGAAAGGACCACGAACATCTGGCTCAATAATATCCGCACTTATTAAACCTCACCCACATCTGCGTAACCTGACAACCCCCCGGATCCTCTTCACAAGGGGCATGAAGCTTGGGATCAGTATCCCGCAAGAGAATTGCCGTCGAGCAATGGACCGTATGCTCGGGATCGAGAACATCATCATCCAAGGGCTTCTGACTTTGAAAAGCAGCATGGAATTTCCGCCACGAGTATGAACAATGATACATATGCCAGGACCACGAGCCCCAGGCGCCGAGGTAATCGCCCCGCTTCCACTTCTCCTCCGGGAGCTCCTCCGCGCTCCGCGTCTGATTGTTCGGGTAGAAGTGCCATTCGTAGCTGGTGAGGAAGTCGTCTACTAATCTGGCATTATAGCACTCGGGTCGTTGCCATGCCCAGGACATTGGGTCGAAGATGCAGCCGAGCGATCGGGCTTCTTTGATCGAATTTCCGCAGTGGCCGAATTCGGCGCCCGTTGGATTGGTTTTCCCACCGGGGGTCGGTGGTGCAGTGGTCGCGAGTGGTTGAGGTTGTGCTTGGACTTGCTGGAGGAGCGCGTCTAGTCGGCCCAGGTTGGTTGAGCAGATAGTGGCGAGGGTGATTCCTAGGAGCAATGATAAAATGGCAGGAATGTAAGGGATCGAAGAGTGGCATACTCGCAACTTGACCCGGGGATGAAGTGTATCGAGCTCGGAGGAATTAGAGTGTGTCTCGTTTAGAAGTGATCTATATTGCTCTTTATCTGTTGGTGTCTATAATGAAGTGTTAGGCCGGGGCTTTACTTCTTCTGTGGGCTTGGAGTTTGTGTTTTACCATTCTGTTTGTGCCGGTATGGGTTCTCCTCCACGGGGTCCTGAGAAAGTGAGATAAGTGTAGTCCAGAGAGCCAATATAGAATGAGGCTTTCCCCTCTGCTGATTGCATAAATCCCTGCAATGGCGTCTTTGGACCCTTTTCTTTGTTTCCCAACCTTATTGGTCTACAGAAACCAAAAAAAGGGGGGGGGAGGAGAAGGGGTATACGTAGTCCTACTGCCATTTAGGGTTACATTGATGATGAGCCATTTATCCAGCACCGTCTTCGATCAGTGTTTTTAAATACTCACTTTTCTCTCAGAAACAATACTCTCTGTATCCCAACCCAATCCCACCCAACGTGCATAAGCATGTCATCCTGGAAAACCGAACGGTGTAGTGTCGCCGATGCCCCCGCTTTAGCCGACAATAATATGTCAGCATTCTGGGAAGACCCAACATGGATCCTTCTGTGGCCCAAGGAAATCACCCTGGATTATCTGATCTCCCAATGCGCAAAGCGATACCCCAAGATCCTGCTGAGCTCTCGCCAGAACACCCGTCACATGAAGGCTGTCGATCCAATGACGGGCGATTTGGTCGGATATGCGCGGTGGATTTTACCGGATAGCCACCTTGTTGCGGAAGATGGGACTCCGCAGTGGGGGGAGGCGCAGATTCCGGACGTGAGTGAGGAGAAGAAAATACGATTCCAGGCATTAGCGGAGTCGGCGTGGTGGAGTGGGAGAACCGATATGCATTCCATCGATGATCTGAATGATGAGGTTATGCATCGGATACTGGTGCAGAGGCCATATATGAGTAAGTTTGGGGGTAGTAGTAGGAGTAGTAGCAGTAGCAGGAGTTCTTGTTGGGCAATTCGTCGAGAGTGGCTGATTGTTGCTTATAGAGCTTGACTATTTGGCGGTTCATCCTAAGAATAAAGGTAAAGGCATTGCGACGGCTCTTGTTGCTAGCGGTGTTAGGGCGGCAGAAACAATCGGCCTGCCGATTGTTACGATGTCATATAAGGCTGGTCGTGGGGTGTACGCACGTTTGGGGTTCAAGGAGGTGGATCGAGTCATTCAGGATGACTCGCAATATGGCGGTGCTGGTGAATATGGGGCGTACTTTATGATACGGGATATCGGCAACTGAAGTAAATGCTTGAACACAACCTATGTACATACTGGGTTTGATGAGAGTACTGTATTTCTTTCATTACTCGCTACCTTCGTTTACTAATCTCATATAATTCTGCGGGAGACTTGTCTTTTAAACGCATGCGGTATGGAATATCAGGTGAATTGATCAAAGCTATCAGGAGTAACTCAGGTTGGTACTGGAGATTCGGTTCATGGATAAGGTGTTGCTCATATTTCGGAGGCTACTACCAGACAATATGGAGGACAAAGGATGATATAAAGTGACATCAGGGGAATCAGGTCTCTCCTCTCAGCCGGTTGGTGCACCACTATCTCTCATAGAAGAGCTCATTTACTCTTCTTCCTCAGGGACATCATAGGTTGCATATTTTTCTTTGGAGCGTTTGTCAGGGACATCGTACACAGCATACTTCTCCTTGGATCGTTTTTCCGGCACATCATAGACAGCATACTTGTCTTTGGATGGCTCGCGGCTACCCAATGTTAGTCACCAGTACTCCCGTCTTGTTTCGCGCTGAGAATATAGCTTAGCTTACACTTCGAGAGAGTTGGCCGGGGCCGGAAGAGCTAGAGCAGAGGCAAGTAGCCCGAGAGTCACAAGTGAAGCTGCAGTGAAACGCATCTTGGAGTAGCCTGAGATTCAAGCTTTGGAAGGAGGATCAATGACAATATTGTCTTGCCTTGTTTGAATAATAGAGATGCTGGTTGGCGGGTAGACGGGTTCTTAAACTTCTCTTTGTGGATAGTCGGATTAGAGTGTCTATTATGGCGAAAGATAGTGAGGGATTTATTTTACCCTGACAGGTTCATATTCACGATGTTTGACTGTCGATGGGCAACCTGTATTGAACGGGTGTAACCAGAAACTGGCCCGGGTACCGCGATTTCCGTAGTAAAATGGAAAAAGCCCTCACCTAATTGCCTTTGCTGGCGTAGCTGCATATACCACATGGGGTAAAACCTGTTGAGGAGAAGGCTCCATGAAGGCCCCCTTCCTGATGTTGTTGTATAACACCGTCACCCCGGTCTTGCGCATCGATCACACACCAATCGATAGAAATCTTGGTCTGGTGAAGTGTGTGATCGCCATGTAAGCATGCATGGTGCAAGAATAGCGCTTACTGTACCGGGCCCATAGGGCCGAGCCCGAGTATCAGGTTCGGACCGTGACCTTAGACTGTCTTGCCTGGGGTTACATTGCATCATTAGTGAGAGCTTACTCGTTCTTGATCACCATCGCTACATTCGAGTTCCATCCCTGCGCCTGGTCTATACGCAGTAACGTCACACACCTCATCTAGTAAGTATAGGGCAATATAGGCTTCTTTCACTGTCACATATTCGCAATACTATACCTCTCGTACGCAATATGTGCATAAACCACGAGACTACATGATTACGCGTCTCTAGGATGGGGTTCATACAAGACTGCCTCACAAAAGAGGGGTAAAGGTTGTAACAGAAATCGAAGGGCCCCATATTCAATCACTGGGATAAACTAGAAGCACTTGGGAGTTTGATCTGTGGAAGACTATGTGTTTTCAGCACGCTCTTCCTCTGTCCTCATAGATTTTAGTTGCAACTCTTGAGTCGTGCACTCCACCCATTGCAAGAATGCCATTTCAGACGAAAGAAGTGGCTTATGATCCTCTAGCCTCCGACGAGAAGAGGTTTTCGCAAAGCTCCGATGGTGTTGAAGACCAGGAAGACGAAATAGGGTTATTAAAGCGTGCCCGCAAAACTCCTTTTCGCTCTTCCTTTTGGGCAAGGGCGGGAGGAAAGGCTGTGGCCGCAGTTAATACTATACTGCTTCTAAGTATTCTTGTTATATTGTTTGTGCCCCGCCGCTATGAGTACCAGTGTTCAGAATTCGAATGTGCCGCGAAAACGTCTTACTACTGTAGGTGGTATCACACACCATGAACAATGGCAAAGGCTAACACAAGTAGCTCCGGTCTTTGAGGACCCCCGAGCGATTGAATATGAATATGTAAGGTTTCAGGGCGCCCTTGAGCATCAAAGTGTCTACAAGGGAACGCCAAATAAGGAACTCGATGAAGCATGGGTGGCCCTTACGCATAGTGAGCTTCCGTGGCCATCTCCTTTTATGAACTACACGAAACTGACATCGCCAGTGAACAATTCCGGAGTGGATGGCAAAGTTCTGGATCGTATTCAAAAGTCGCGTATAGCCGTTAAGTACCCAAAGGAACAAGGGGGTCTGTATGATGTTGGCATCGAGGTTTTCCACCACATGCACTGCTTGGTATGCTGAGGTCAACCTGTGGCTTTATGAGTCACAATGAATGCTGATAATTGACAGAATCTGATACGCCAGTACACGTACAAAGACTACTACCACCGCCCAGAGAACAAACCCAAGTCTTTTACAGACCCGGAAGCTATACTTCGTGCTCACATCGACCACTGTATTGAGATGTTACGGCAGTCTCTGATGTGCCAAGGGGACGTCGGTATAATCACATATAACTGGGTCCACCCCTGGGGTATGTATCCTGACTTTAGTACGGAGCACAAGTGCCGCAAGTTTGACAGAATTGTTGAATGGGCTGATAAGCACGCATTACCGGATGATGACCCGGAACCCGATTCTGAGACTGTTTGGTTATCAGGCCCACCACAGTAAATGAAGTTCGGAGAAGTAGCGCTTTCTTCCACCTATAGGATACGTAAAGGCAACAGGGGTCTCAATGCCGATAATTGCAGGGTTTATGGAGGCTGTTAGAAGCCAGGGGTCGCATGTAACTAAGCCAATACGCTTGGGATAAAGCAAGTATAGTTTCTTTGTGGTTGGTTGACCTAATATTAAGCTGTTCTCTGTTACGGTATCATATTGTAGCTCTTGGTCTGACATTGGGCAAGGTCAGCATTACGTTGAGGAAGATTGCTGAGGTACCTTGGGGCTGCTGCCGTCAATGAACTAAGATAATCGAAGATATTGACGCACGACCTGGCTCTTAGTCGCTTTAGCTCTAGTGCATTCGGCTCCGATGGGTCGCGGACAAGGGCATCAACATGAGTCCCGGCAGCCAGAAGACGTCGAGAGGTCGTAGATCGAAATCACTGAGTCGAAGTCAGCATCTATCTAGCGTTTCCACCAGACATAACCTTTAGGATGGAGGTTGCACTTATTAACTGATTGATAAAAGTTATTTGATCTTCAAGAGCTCATCTAGATAGGGACTGAAACATTGTGAGAACCCTGATAGATTAGGACCTTGATAGATTGATATAGCGCTGAGTGGGGCGAGAAATACCTGCTTTTGGAAGTTAGATTAAAATAGGTGAAGCGGATAACCGGCACTTTGCTACTGTTATACCTTGTGAGTTCTTCAAATGGGACTGGATTTGTAATAACAACTGTTATGGGGGACCACCAGCCGGGATATTGCTCACAGATCGCCTATATAAAGATACCGAGGCGCCGTCTCTCCTCCCACAACTCATATTATCCTCACATAGCATCAGAATTAGCAACATTCGATCATTTCTCCAACTCTCAGTCAAAATGAAGTCCGCCTTCACCCTGTCCGCCCTCGTCTCAGGAGTGCTCGCCGTCGCAGCTCCATTCCAGCTGGTTATCAGCGGCTCCCACTCGCGCACCAACGAGCTCAATGACCGCGCCCTCATCAGCCAAGGCGACGCCTTCATTGTGGCTCCCAAAGGCGAGCATGGCATTAACTTCACCGGTGGTGATGGCACTCTGGGCATCCAGAACGGCGATGTTGGTGAGTTCTTCCTTCTTTCGGACCACATATCGTTCTTCCATACCAGATAGTCGCTAACTATTGAGTCTCAGTCTACGTTGGTACTGACGGCCACGTCGACCTCAAGAGCACCGACGGCGTCGCTGCTGGTGGTTTAACCCAGGGCTTTACTACGGGCAGCAACAATGCCCTTGAGTGGGCTCAGGGCCAGTTCTTCGCCTGCCCTCACGAATCCCTGTTCGCCGCGGGTCCCCCTACCTACATGCTTTATGCCAGCCGCTCCGGTGTTACTCTTCCCACCGACTGCGTTCAGATCAATCTCACTAAGGTCGCTGTCTAACATTTGCTGCGGCTAGTCTTTGAGTAGATGCAGCTGTGGAGCACGATTCGGGTCTATATAGAAAAGTCTAACTGATACATTCGCTTTCAAACTATATTTGTGTGCTTTCTTTCTATATTCACTTTAGAGCTACTGAGAATCTATACGATTACTACGTTACCCAAAAACCCTAAACTGGAGGAACACATAGAATACGAAATGATTAGAAATTGTTCATTGTCAGAGCGTCTGATTTATGATATATCAATACCGAATAGGTCTAAATTGAGTGAGCTTTTGCAGTGACACCTACAGTCAGTAGAGAGAAAATATCTACTACTGATCAACTAGTAATGCCATAGTTCCAGAAAGCCCGTATATATCAAGCTCCGTTCCTTAACTGTTTCAATTTTCTATTAGTCAAGTTCTCATACAGGTTCGATTAACTGACTGAATCACTAATTATCCAACGTCATAATGACCCGGACGTTTTTTTACGCATCAATCGGCTCGGACGGAGGTATAGATTCCTCAGCTACTGCAGAGGGTACAGAGTCTCCGGTCAAAGTGAAAAGCTCATCGTGACTTCCTCCTGGGTAAGGCTCGTGACACCCACCCGGGGGGCAGATTGGCAGGCATCTGCACTCACGACGACACGGATCGCTTCCGCTAACACGATCGCGTACGCAAAATGCACCATGATGCTTACAGAAGTACGTATTTGCCTCGGATGAGCAGTTCAACGCATAATCCCGTTTGGTTAGCTCCTTCAGCGCTTCGTTACTTGGGTTTGGGCTGACAGGTGCTGCTAATGCAAGGCCAGAGAATAGCAAGTTGCCGGTTAAGAAAATTAGCTGTCACTTTAGTTAGATATCAGATAAGGGGGCTAAACTGGCAGATACTTCAGATCAAGGGTGTTCTGCTGGGCTTTGGATAAGCTGTGGTAACGGGAAACGAACCTGGGCCTTCATTTTGGTAGATGGAGCTGACACCAAAGGACTATTTGAATACGTTGGGATTCTGACTTGGAAAGGATGGCATGCTTGAGATATCCTTGGAAGTACAGTGCTCTCTTTATACCTCATCTCAGCTGTTCTTTTGGTTTCTCCTTTCATGATCTCCCCGCTACGAAAGATCCCCTCGGAATTTTGTCGCCTGTAGCTAGGACGTTAGCAATGTAACTGTAGAGTTGTAGGCTTTACCTAATATCATGTCCTATCCAGCGGTTTGGAGACTTGGTGTACAAGGTATAGCGCCGCATATACTTGGCGATGATGTCTCCAACAAATCATAAGCAGAGCTCGACCCACTTCAGAAGCACTTTTCGGACTGGATTCCTGTTGAACCACCAAAATAGGCCATTATTCCTTGTAGATACCAGCATTCATGAAAGATAGCGATTGGACCCAATGGTGGACCCCCATGTGATGTGTGATTCTGTCGATTTCTACCCCCTCTCTCTATCTCTCTCGCTCTCTCACCTTCCTCCTCTCCGTTTGTTCCCTGTTCTCTCCATCTTTTCACCCCTCCCTTTCTCTCATCTCCTGCTGTTATATCTATTATAAAGCTGCAGCTTGGAACACGGCCTCAGTGAAAATGAAGTACATGGTGGATTGGCATCCCGAGCACCGAGTTCCAATAGTGGATGGAAAGTTCAAAAACCCGAATACAGGGGAAATAGAAGAAGCAGGAGCGATTGCCTGTTGCTCCGGCCCTCCCTCAGTACACACAATATGGGTGAACCTTAATCTTGGGTCAAGCTTTCGGATATGTGGTGCCGACTTTTGTGCTACGATCGACGAGGTGCTTCTTGCTATTGCCGAACATGTTAAACAAAAGGCCTATACAATCGAAAGTATCAACGGCAGCCTCTACTCGATGACTGTTGTTTGTTGGACCAGCAAGTCGCAGGGTGAAATGTGCGAGTATTTCAATCAGATGCATCGCGATCTCGGGAAGGATGTGTGGGTATCGCCAGAAGACGAGGCTAAGTTTCGCTCTTTCGTGGAGGAAGAACGAATGAAGGACAACCCGAGGTTTTGAGGGCGTTGCCTATGTATCATTAACACGTGCTTCGCCGATATTGTGGTTGACTCTATTAATAGCTCCACATTTCCCCTGGAGCCTCTTTTGTCTACATAGCAATAATTGATCTCCGACTTTTCCATTACTGCTCCACAACCAAAACGGATCACCATTTATACAAGAGGCAATTAGGGCAACTCACGACAAAACGGGCACTGTAGCTGCAGGAATTTATGGTTCCTTCATCGCGTCATCAACCATTGAAAAGCAAATCTAATGAGAATTGCCCTAATGACCTCCACCACGTTATGATATAGGGCACTCCATTGAATAAAACAAGTATTCACGACCATAGGGTACGGAGAACAGGGGCTTCGCATCCGCCCAGCCGGACTTAAGTCACATAATACGCACGGTCTAATAGTTAAAGAGCCCTTTGGTTAACTAAATATCTGAAACGTAGATAGCAAAGCCTTTAGTATGAGTGCCGGTGATGGGGTGCTGATCTCTATACATTCACAGCAGCAGTGATACTGATCAGATACTCTGGTGTACTGACCCCTCGCCATGCAGAAATGAGGATTGCTGTGGTGAAGGCCAGGTGGCCTACAGAGATGCGTCACCCGATATCAACTCTACACCTGCATAGCTACACATTTTATTAGTTAGGATCAGGTTAATAGAATTTTGATTAATTGAAGGTATCCGGGAGAAATCCACAATCATGGCGTAAACCTTGAGCATGCTCTGCTTGAAAGAGTTCAGGGGAAAGTTACGAAAGAAGTCCCAGCCCTTAGTGATCTCTGCGTTGACATGAACGTCGGAGGCTGCCAGTGAATATCAATATTAACACCCTTAGCACCGAATCCATTCTGTCTTCTATTAAAGACCGCTCGACGTTAAATATAAGCAATAATAAAGGATAGTTAGTAGAAGATTCTCTCAAGTTTTCTACTAAATATAAAATTCTCTATCATACTTGATTACTAGACCTCTCTATTTTAATAAGTATTTATAGCAATCACTGGGTACTTTCTTGATAAAGATTAGAATATTATAAGCCAAACGACCAGACCTCGAACCCGGCCTGGCTATTAGTGCAACTCCAGAATCCCTCGACCGAGGACTTGGCTATCTAGTACATCAAGCAAGTGGCTGACCTTGAGCACAGGTGTGACGCCCGCGTGCTACCTTTTAGACTACTATGTCATACGACAACTCCGCTGCCAAATTGCCAACTAATATCGTGGGACTTGTCAAGGCTATCGCCCTCTACGAGCGCAACATTCCTTTAATCACGGGCCGCGTCCTGATTCAAACCAGTCCATGTGGCGCCTACGATACTCAGGCCATTCTCGATTCCGCGCAGGCTTTTGCCATAGAGTGTAAGTTCACGGGCATTCTTTGAGAGCAATATCACATCAAGATCATAGCTACTGGACCAGGGCTTATCACAGCAAAGAGTCTTCAGTAGAAAAGAATCCTTATCTTAGGCACAGGGGTATTTACCATTGCTCAAGGTACAGGGTACTTCTAGATTAATTAGGTCCATACTTATCAGCCCATGCTACAACAGCATATCCAACTGACAAAATGAGGACCCAAAGTTATGTTCTCTTCCGAACAACTCGGCTTCAGGTACTGAGTGGCAAAGGCTAAAATACTGACATATCTTCTTCTAGGACTAAGGTAGCTGGGCGACCCATCCACCATACCCGTGATCGAGGACTTGGTACTGCAGTATCCATTTGACAAATACTTAGTTCAGATAACACAGGTATACAAGGACCTAAACAAGAAGACTGGGAATTAGCCTCCACTAATCAAGAATACCGGGAAAGCAATCCAGTTATCCTGCATCTAGCTAAATTTAATAGTATAGTCTTTGGTTCGGGACTAATTCAATACATCTTCGCGCCATATCGCGAGGCCATCGCCTCAGCTGAGATTAGCTACCATAATAGATAAATAAACAGTAGGGGCACAGAAATTCACAGTAAAAAAAGCCACTGCGGATATGGTAGCTCTTCCATAGTACTGAATGCTCCAAGTAAGAGCCTTCGCTGCCTTGTTGCTAAATGAGGCTAGATCTTATGTCTTCGAAAGGGTCAGTGTAATCCCAACTTGCAGGCTGAAGCTTACTTTTAAGGACGTCTACCATAAAGGATGTGGCATACATTCCCTCAAGTATGGACGAAGGCGTTGCTCTACCTCTGCGCTCACTGACTATGATTATTGTTTAATGATCAGAGATACATCTTGGATTGAATGCTACTCGTCCTGACCACAATGGAGTGAATTCATGCGTCGGCTATGAGTGCAGTGCAGCTGCTGTTTACCTATCTGACCCTCCACCGAATAGTCCGCTTTTTCTTGATGGTATTACAAGTTTGACTGCCTTCCACCTCCAGTAGTCCCCAAACGAGTCCTAGATTTGGGCTTGAGCTCTTTGAAGAAGTCCACCAAAGCACCTGCTTTCTCGAACCCACAAATTAAACTGATATACCCATCCGGCCTCAACAACACCAACAACCCCTCCTCCTTGCTAATCTCCAGCCGCTCATAAACCCGCCCATGACCTTTATGGTAGCTCTCATCGTCCGCATACACACACCAATAATCCCACCCTTCCTCGTCACTCCAGGGCCGGAAAACTGGGTGTAGGTCTAACAATTCCACATACCCACGCTTCGCGGCATGGATAGTTATGATTTCTAGGCCGGAGCTGGGAGCGAGACTCGAGGCAAGCCATTTACCCAGATGATTATACCGGGAGAAAGCTACCCCCTGCGAGAGATCGCCGGGGAAGACGAGCAGCCGGAAGCGCCCGTCATTGGTGAAACGGTGGTAAGCCTGGATTGGGACGGCGTCGGATTGATTAACTATCTGGAAGTCTGGGAGGCGTTTTCCCGGTGCTAGGTTTGCGGCGCGAGGTTGAGAACTTGCCGACACTGGCCGCACAAGCAGCGACGGCGGATACTGGATGTGAATCCCTGTTGTGAAAGCCTGGCCGGCAAGATATGCATCGAGAAACTCATCATGTGTGATATCCTTCCGGGAAAAGGACTCCAGGTACGCTTTGTCGAAGTCAATGAGTGCCTGTGCGACGGGCCTACGTTCGGACTGGTACGTGGATAAAAGCCCGCGATCAGCCTTCTGCTCTAGTACATAGCGCAGCTTCCATCCGATATTGTATCCATCCTGGATACTAGTGTTCATCCCCTGTCCCGCCTTAGGCGAGTGCGTGTGGACTGCGTCCCCGGCTAGAAAGATACGGCCGTATCGTGCAAACTCGTCGGCGACGCGCTGGCCGACGTTGTACGCGGAGGACCAAGGGATCTGACCAGCCTCGAGAGTGTATGGTGAGAGGATTGCTTGAGCGGCCTCGAGAATTTTCTCAGGCGCGATGTTCTGTGCCTTGACGGATGTGTGCCGGGTGCCGCCGTCCATGCTGATGTATAGCCGGACAAGCTTGTTTTCGCGGGGGACGCCCATGACGGTGCCGACCTTCGAATGCACGACGAAAACCTTGCGGATGTCGGGAAAGTTGGTTTTCGGGACGAGATTCATGACGCCTGTTCAATTGGATTAGATCTGGAACCGAAAGAGACTTCTGCATCTACCTACTCACCCCATGTTGAGTCTGTTAGGTCTCCCGAAAACCCAATCTTGAGATACTTGCGTAGCCAGCTGTGCGCCCCATCCCCTCCCACCACATATTTCGCGCGTATCGTCTCCCGGACCCCAGTCTCTGTGTTTTGTACCGTCAGCGTGCTGGGATATGCCTCGGGATCGTCTAAGCTCGAGAGGTCGGTATGCAAGGCAACAGGCTGTGCATTCCAACTAACCCGGACACTCCCATGTTTATACAAATTCTCCACCATAACGCGCTCAATCTGCCCTAAATCACACAGTCAGTCTATCACCACTTTCCAATCCCCATGTATTTGTCTCGGCCCACCCTGATCAAGCGTAACCTCCCTCGCCTTGCCCAACTCCTCTACACGATCAGGGATCGTCATCGTCCGGCTAATGACTCCGTCCCTCTTTGGATCTGGATGCCACAGCACAATCTCCTCACATGGTTGTGCATCTTTAAGAATTGTATCACCAATTCCGAAGGAGTCCAGTACCTCCATAGAAATGCTTTTCAGCCCATCTGCACGTCCAACCTGCAGCGGGGCCGCCTTGATATCGATTAATCGCACGCGAAGACGGCTCCCGTTGAAGGAGTTGGCCGTGGTTAAGCTGTTGCAAGACCGCACGGGGTTAGCTACCTTCTCACTTCTGAGTTGCTAAAGACGAGGGAAAGCAAGTTAAGACTGACCCTGCTGGCCCCGCGCCAATAATCAAGACATCGACATCATCCGTTGCGGTGGCCATGGTTGCGTTCCTTGTCTATATCCTTCCAAAGGAATTGTACGGTTTTGCTGTCACACGCGGGACAGCTTACAGCTTAAGCTTAATGGATCTATCACGCAAACTGGGTGCACCCATCCATCGGCCGTTCCAGGGATAAGCGGCTCCTTCAATGATGCATTCGGTACAGGGTGGATGAGAGATTCTATGCATTTCGGGCCGATTGTCAGAGCCAGCCGAACCGAACCGGAGCCGAATAGTTCGACTTACGGAGAATCCTGTAGCAGGCCGGCGAAACGATTACCGAAGCAAGGGGACCTCGGGAGACTCTAAACAGTATACAGAGAGGTGGACCGTATCGAATCAGCCTTTGTCGCGTGGTATGACGTGGAATGCCCTACATGGGTATGAACCATATTCCTCGGATTGAACTTCAAGTAATGTGGCAGGTAGACCGGCTCGACAATTGTCCAGGGATAGTAGGCAATGAAACCTACATTGACTTTCTATGTAGCTAGAGCTTCGTGCAATTGTATGTACATTGTATATGTGGACGTTCCCTGAGTACCCAAACAGCCCGAAACAGATACATAGAAACTTCATATTTGGATTGTAGATACCACCTACACCTTCGATAAGACCTAGTTACTACTCTCCCCTTCCCCTCTCAGCCCCTTCAAAACCTCATCAATCTGCCCACAAAACTCCTTCACCTCATCCACAGTATTATAATGCACAAAACTGACCCTGATAAGCCCCTCCTCCCCACAGCCCAGGACATCATGCGTCGGCCTCGGCGCCCAACAATTCCCACTAACAACCCTAAACCGGCCTTTCTGGTTGATTGCATCAGCCACAGCAGTCGGCGAGACACGAAGCACCTGGAACGTAATCACTGGCACGCGCTTGCCGGGATCGGAAGACTTTTGACCGAAGATCCGGAACGTATCAGGCCGGGATCGGAGGTATGAGAGGAAGACCTCCTGTAGGACCGTTTCCTGCGCGATGATGTTGTCCCACCCGACTTTGTGGATGTACCGGGTGATATGGACAAGGCCCTCCTCCAGCTCGAAGGAGTTAGCCCCGAGTCGAAGGCGCCAGTCAAGGCCTGGCATGGAGCCGAGGAAAAAGTGGGCGATGCCTGTGAGAGCGCGTTTCTGCGTCGCGCGCCGGCCATATAGTTGTGCCACATGCGGCCCAAAGAGCTTGTACCAGCTAAAGCAGTAGAAGTCGACATCTAGCGCCTTGACGTCGATGGGGCGGTGCGGTGCAAAGGCCACCCCATCAACAACGAAGATAGCCCCCGGGATCGCATGGACGAGATCCGCGACCTGCCGGATAGGATGAATAGTCCCGACGACGTTGGAGACGTGATTGCAGGCCACGATGCGGGTTTTAGGCGTCAGTAGCGGCTTCAGTGTCGATAGGGAAAGGACGGGATCGTCCCCGTCTGATGCCGGTGGAGCCCACCATTTGATAGCAATGTTCAGGTCTTTGGCTAGAGCGATCCAGGCGGCAGCGCTGGCTTCGTGGCAAAGGTTTGAGACAATGATCTCACAGTCGGCGTTTAGCAGGGGCTTTAGGGCTTGGCCTAGAGACCGGAGGAGGAAGGTTGTTGATTGACCGAAGGCTGGGATTGTTAACGACTTGTTAGGCACTCTGAGATGCGGGAGATGGGTTCAGGCAGGGTAGGTACGTACCAATCTCATCAGGCTCGGCATTGATAAATGCAGCCAACTCCGTGAATTTTTCATCCATGCGCTGCGTCTTTGCTGCGCTGGCTGGGTCGTTGCGGCCGAGCTCGTAGGGGAACGATGTCATGTAGCGGTGTGTGGCTTCGGCAGCTTCATGGTGCAGGACAGTTCCAGCCGCATTGTTGAATGGCACAACGCCCTGGTGTAAAGCGGGGAACTCTTTCCTCAGACTTTGCACATCAATTGCATCTGCCACTGGCTCTACTGTGCTATCTTGCGAGCTTGTTGGTGTCCATACTGCGTTCGGCCTGCTCAAGAACCCTGCCCTGATGAGGTGGGTAATATTAGCTTCAATGGCGGCTAGAACTCCAGCGCTGGGGGATGGCGGTGCGCCGTCAATGACGCCGACTGGATCATCACTGGCTTCGAGCAGGTAGAGCAGAGGGAACAAGGGGTGTTTCTCCATTTTCTCGGATACGGATTGCTGCACCCTCAGGAGCCACTGGGAGCGGGCGAGCGGTTGCAGGTCGAAACCGAATTGATCTCGCAGTAGAGCCCACAGTGCTTTGAACCGTAGGCCATCCAGCACCTTAGCCACAGATGGGAGTTGGTCCTCAAACGCACTGCGCAGAATCAACCCCGCCACACGCGTGATATCCGAGACGAAGAGCCACCCATCAGCCTCCTCCTCAATGTAAAACCCTATCTCAACCGACGCGGCAACAAGCCGCCAGATAAAGTCCGACTGGCTCGCAACTCCGCGCTCAGCATCGCCAATAATGAATCCCGGCTTCACAATCCTCACATGTCGAGCCTTAGCGCTCTGCTGATTTGCAAAGCGGCGGACAACCTGTTCCGCCACAGCCTTGGAGCGAGAATACCCTGACCCACGCAACGCCTTGCTCGCGTTCCTCTCGTCACTCCCCTCGTCGAAGCCTAGCTGGGTGCCCCCAGAGACAAAGACGAAGCTGTGTAGGGGCTCGTAACGGCCATGCACCGCCTTGAGGAGCTCGACTGTCGGCGAGACATTAGTTTTCTTCAGGACCTCATAGTCCTGGCTGTAGTGGACTTTGGCGCCATTGTGGATGATTACATCGATGGATGGGGAGGTCTCGCCTTGAATCATCTGCCAGCGTGAAGAATTGAGACCGAGTTGGGGCTGAGTGAGATCCCCCTGCCAGACATGGAGGCGTGGACGGTAGCTAGACTGCCACCATCCAGCTGCGATGGCCTTTTGGATGAGGCGGTCTTCAGCCTGAGCCTCTGAGGATGCCCGGACCAAGGCGTAAACGTGCGTGGTCGAGAGAGCGAGGAGTTGCCGTAGGATTTCAATACCAAGGAAGCCCGTCGCGCCAGTCAGAAAGACTCTACTTGCATTTACTTCAAGGGATTGAAGTGCTGGGCCAGAGACAGATGATCTTAACGGACTCTGCACGTTTCGCGCCGGACCTGCTCCCCCATTTCTATTGCGAATGGCCATATTGGCATCAATGACATCAGCAATTGCCCGCACCGTGGCTCTTGAACTCAGGAGATCTTTCATGGGCACCTGGAACCCAAACAGCCCAGTCAACCGCATGGACAGCGACATGATCTGGATCGAGTCGATCCCACCATCCTGTAGGTTGAAGTCCCGGCCCTCGTACTCCTGCCGACGGGCGATAATACCGCCTGCAACAATGTCAGCGTACTCCCGCGCAATGACTTGCGCGGTCGACTCATCAGCCCGTAACTCGAGTCCTCCAGTTTCTATCTCCTGAGCCGCAGTAGTGTGTGACGACGGGCTACTCTGCAGCCCGGAGAGCCATTTGGCGACGAGTGACCGGTCCAGCTTCATCGAGCTGTTATGCGGCAATGCATCCACAACCAGCAGCTCATTAGGAATCATGAACTCTGGCAACCGGGAGGCCAGGAACTCTCTTACCACTGCGAGTGTAAGAGTCGAATTGGGACGAACTGAAAGCGGTTGCCCAACTCCCAAGCTACCGCTGGCCTCCCCCTGCTGCACGACCGCCACCAACCGGTCCTTGAAATATCCCTCCTTAACCAGCGTCACAAGACAGCCATCCACTCCTGGCAAAATACCCAGGTGATATTCGATCTCACGCAGCTCAACCCTTTGCCCATGATACTTCACCTGGTCGTCTATTCTCCCCACAAACTCGAACCGCCCATCGAGCGTATCAATGCTGTACCGGAGGAGATCGCCCGTGCGGTAAAATCGCCTGACGGGCGTCGTAAGGTCATATGCCCACGGCGGATTGTCAATGATGGCATCCTTAGTCTTGGTCGTGTCGTTGAGGTATTCCCGGAGCAGGCTCGGCCCGCCAACGACGAGCTCCCCGACGGCTCCCAGTGGGACGAGCTGGGTCGGGTCCTGCGGGTTCACAAGGACACAGACGGAATTGTCGAGCGCGTAGCCCAGAATCTCTGGTCTCTTAGCTAGCCCGGCAGCGACGCAAGGTCCCGTCTCGGCGGGTCCGTAGCCCTGATACAGGGTAACGCGATTGGCACTTTCCCATTTGGCGACCACCTCTTCGCGGAGTGCTTCGCCTCCGAATATTAGAGTCCTGAGAGTCGGGAAGCTTACCGGGTTGAGGAGGTTGGCCAGGGTCGGTGTGATGAGGGCCAGGGAGACCTCGAATTCTGTGCAGAATTTGACTAGGTTGAATCGCCGGTCTTCCTCGCTAGGGATACACACGCAGCCGTTGAAGGTCAGCGTGGTAAAGATATCCGTCATGAAGATGTCCCAGGTTGAGGCGGCAAATTGCAACGTTCGAGCCCCGTGGTATTGGAAGGCTCGACCCTCGGCTACCATGCGCGTCGCTACGGCGCCATGCTGGATGACGATTCCTTTGGGCTTACCGGTTGAGCCTGACGTAAAAATAATAACCGCTGGATCCTGGCTGTGCACTGTCGGCAGGAATGTGTCTTCAAATCCAGGGCCCGTATCCGTGCGCACAGTATCCGACGAGATAGGGATTATCTCGACGAGGTTTAAAAAGCTCGAGTTCGAGGCTTGGGTGGTAGATGTTAGGACTATCGTTGCCCTAGTCTCTCGGAGGATCTCCCTCGCACGAGACGGCGGCTGCGCGGGATCAATCGAGACGACGGCAGCGCCGGCCTTGAGGATCCCCAGAATCGCTACAACCATCCACACGCTCTTCTCAAAGATGAATGGGACTGGCTTGCCGCGGCTGATTCCCCGGCGCAGGAGCTGGCTAGCCACAATGCTAGAAAGACGGTCGAGCTCCGCGTAGGTGAACTGTCCATCCCAGCCGTGTACGGCGGGCGCGTGGGGGGTTGCACGTGCAGATTTGAGGAAGAGGCCGTGGAGGGATTGTCGTTCCTCAAACAGCGGAACAGGAATAAAGGAAGCAATAGCTCGCTGGTCTGCTTTGCTGATGGGTATACGTCGCTGAGACATTCCTGGATCGGCGGTGCGGACTTGGGTATGAATTTCCAGCAGAGTCGCCCATAGCGCCGATGCGAACTTCGGAGGTACGCTGCGCTGGACAGTGTAAAGGCGGAGATCTCCTCCACCTTCCTTCGACCAATGCAGGAGGTAGCTGAACCCGGACTCGTCTGCATTGCTGGCGTGATAGGTATTGTTGAAATCGAGGGCGGTATTGACGCGATTGCCATGTTGCGAAGAGATGAAAGGGACTGACTGTAACTGGGGCCCTGTGTTTGACCATCGCGAGACGACCAGCTTTGCTCCTGTGGCTCGGTCAATGACCGCAAAGGCGACGGTGTCCGACACCGCGTATTGGTGAAGCAGGATCGCCCAGGTCCTGGTTAGGGCTTCGTGTGTTTCGTGCGCCGATCTAGTTGTGTCGAGCGATCCGTAGGGAGAAGATTTTGCCAGACCAGGGCGCGCATTCAGTTTGGATCTGCTCGTCAAGACTGGCAGATGCGTAGAAGGGATGCTGAGACTGGAGGTGGAGATGGAGCTGGACACATCGGGAGGACCAGTATTTTTGATGTCAGAGAATGCATTCTCGACCTCGTCGTCCACTTCTCCATTGCAATCCGGATTGTATATGACCATATTGGGCACGAATACGAGAAGGTTACCATGTATTCTTCGCGTCCTGGAGGCATTCTGACCCGTTGGCCTAAGTATATGAACTACCGGATTCGGCCTGAGCCCCAGACTGATATCGGTGTTCGGGGAGACTTTCGGCTGCTCCACTCGGAGGCTTCGGACGACACCTGCAGCTATGACGAGCTACTGGATCCCGACAGAGCTATCCACTATCATACACAACAGTAGGACGAGGGAACGAAATGGTACAGGGCACTGGGTATCGCTAGACAGACATCAGAAGGCTGTTCGTTTTGGCAGCTACATTTTCCTATAACATTTCAGTCTCGGATACGCGCCGGAATCGTAATCTGTATATTTATATAACTGCCTGTCCACCCGATATTAGATGTAACGCTCAGTGCAAATTCTGCATCCCAACCATCTCCCAGTAAATCCCCCTCTTCCCCATAAGCGCCTCGTGATTCCCCAATTCCACCAACCTTCCCTGCTCCAAAACTCCAATGACATCCGCGCCCTGCACCGTACTAAGCCGATGCGCAACCATAATCGTCGTCCTGTCCGTCCGGATCCGATCCATAACTGCCTGCACAAGGGCTTCAGAGTGCGCGTCCAGCGCTGAGGTTGCCTCGTCTAGTAAGAGCACCTTGGGGTGCCGGAGGAATGCTCGCGCCAAGGCAATGCGTTGCTTTTGGCCGCCGCTCAGCATGCTTCCGCCGGTGCCTACTATTGTTGATAGGCCGTTGCTGGAATGTAGTTAGTTTGGTGATAAGAAAGTTGAAAGTCTGGGACAGTGGACTCACGGGAGAGACTGTACAAAGTCCAGAATATTCGCCTGCCCACACGCCTCGAGAATCCTCTCCTCACTTACCTCCTGCCCCGCCAACCCAACCGCAATATTCTCTCTTATCGTGCCTGAAAAGACTACATTCTCCTGACTCACCAGACTCAGATCTCGGCGGTGCTCGTCTACATCCCGACATCTGATGTCACGCCCATCGATAAGAATCCTCCCTGCATCGGGCTCGTAGAACCGCTCTAGCAGCGAAACAGTTGTACTCTTGCCGCTACCGCTGTGACCGACTAGTGCTAGGGTCTGGCCTGGTTCAACGGTGATGGTGAGGTTATCTAGCGCTACTCGTCCAGGTCGGGAAGGGTAGGTGAAGGAGACGTTTTGAAACTCGATGCGGACTGCCTTCGCGCTCTGACTCTTCTCCGACCTGGCATTCTGCTCAGGCACCTGGGTTGCTGGATCCCGCTGCATCTTGTTAATTGTAGGTCTAAGGTCCATAATCCCCCTCAAGTCCTTCGCCGCATGCATCGCCTTACTGGCCTCAGGTGCAAAAGTAAAGATACTCCCCGCAATCTGGCTGCCCGAGATCAGTGCCACGAAGCAAATATACACCTGGAAGGTCGAGTACTCGTGATTAGCGATCAGGGTACCCCCATACCAGAACGCCAGCGCCGCACACATGTACACAATCGACGCCGACGCCGCGTACAGTGCTGAAGCGACTAAGATAGACCGCAGCGATTTCGCGCCTTGGGCTTCCAGAATCCCCTCGTAGCGGGCTAGGGCTCGTTCCTCGATTCCCAGTGATGCAACGGTGCGGACTGTGCGGACGAGTTCACCGGCGTACGAGGCTGCTTCGAGGCCGCTCTGTCGGACTTTACTGTCGAAGGTTGAGAGGACTTGGAGGCGGAGCCAACCGCACGCCACGACGATGGGGATGGTCGCTGTGCACACGAGGGCTAGCTTCCAGCCGATAGCGAGGGAGAGGACGATCCCCGCGACAATTGTCGAGACGAATGTCAGTATCCCACCAAGCACAGGCCCTCCCATGCCGGCGAGATCGTTGGTGGTTTTTGAGAGGACACTGGACAATGCGCTGGGGGAGTTTATTTGTATATCAAAGAAGGCCATGTCCTGGATTAGGATTGCGCGGAAGCAGATTTCGCGAACGCGTTGGGCGAGCTTTTGGGTTGCAAGGGAGAGGGCGATTTCCACGCCGAGCCAGAAGATGAAGGTTGTCCCGGTGAGCATCACGTACAAGCCCGACCAGAAGTTCACTTCGCTGCGGAGCTGGTGGTATTGAGAGGAGGGGAGGCCAATGACGGCGAGGATTTTCGCGAAGAAGACGGATTGCCTGGAGGATAGATAGGTAAGTGAGTTTGGAAAATGATGCCTTAAGGGGGACCTACACTGGGATCGTCAAGCCCGCTAGAATGGCATTGGATAGACCGAAAAGCAGAATCTTCCAGTCGCGCTTGCTTAGGTGTGCGATGAAGGTGAGGGTTTGCAGAGCACTGAGCCCACCGGCGCCCTTTGTTTGCTGCTCTGTCGGCTCGGACTGTCGGGCAATTTCTTCCTTTATCGTCGCTTTCTCGTCGATATAAGACACAGCAGCTCCATCCAAGTGCGATTCCGCTTCATCAACAGACAGATCAGCGTTCTCCGTGCTTTCAGCCTCCACAAGCTGCTGCTTTCGTACCAAAGCAGCATATACGCCGTCCTGCGCGATGAGTGCCTCGTGTACCCCTTCTTCCACCACTCTGCCCTGTTCCAGCACAATAATATGGTCCACGTTCCGGATTGTCGAAAGCCGGTGTGCAACAATAATTGTGGTGCGGTTCTGCGATGCCGCATCCAAGGCTCGCTGGACCGTAGCCTCCGATTTTGAATCAAGAGCCGCCGTGGCCTCATCCAGAAGCAGGATCCTAGGGTTCTTGATCAGGGCCCGAGCAATTGCAACACGCTGTCTCTGACCTCCGGACAGCTGCAGGCCTTTCTCTCCGACTGGGGTATAGTAGCCGTCCGGCAATGTGGCGATGAAGTTGTGGGCATCGGCCATTTTTGCTGCTTGGATGGCTCGCTCTTGTTGCTCGGCTGGGGACAGCTGGCTAAACATGTCTTGGGCTCCGTATAGGATATTTTCGAGGATCGTCCCGTTGAAGAGGACGGGTATTTGATCCACCAGGGCGATCTGGCTACGCAGCCAGCGGAGGTTGAGGGATTGAATGTCGCGTCCGTCCAGTACTAAAACAGTCAGAATGAGTATAACGGACTACAATAGACGCGAAACACTTACGAACTGCTCCGCTTGTCGGCTCGTAGAACCGCTCCAACAACCCGAATACACTGCTCTTTCCACTTCCAGACGAGCCTACAATCGCCGTCTTCTTCATCGCACCACACCTCAGCGACAACCCCCGAAGAATATCTACCTCCTCTCGAGAGGGATAGACCAGTCCAACGTTGTCGAACAGAATCTCTCCCTGCACGCCCTCCAGCTGCTCTCCCTCTGCCGCCAAAGGATCCTGCGGCGACCGCCTGGCAATGGCCTCAAGCACCTTGCCCGTAATCGCGATGCCGGAAAGCAACGCCTGCGCCGACGGCGCAATGCGAATAATCGCAAACGACCCAATCGTGACCGCCAGAGTCGTCGAACTCACTTCGGCAATGGTCATCTCTCCGCGAACAAGGTAAATCGAACCAGCCCAGAACGCAAGCGCATAGATGAGATTCGGCATGGCGTTCATCCACGCAATCATCACAGCAACCATATTCTCCGCCTTGCGGTCTGCCCTCCCGGCCTGTTCTAACACTTCCCGATACCGGTTGGACAGCAGAGACTGGATACTAAACGCCGTGACATGCTTGATCGCACCGACGGCCTCCTCAACCACCCCCGCCGCTTGGGTATACAGCTCCATAGCCCGCCTGTGGTGCTTCACCATATACGCACCCCCGAGACTCTCCGTGACTATCATGACCACGAAAAACGGGCTTATAATTAATGCGGTCTTCCAGTACATTATAAAGGCGACCACGAACGCCGCACAGAACGTCGCGAGCGCCGTGAGCATCACCGCCAATTTACTCGTAACCGCCTCCTGCACAGTCCCCATGTCCGACATGATCCGGCTGGTGATCTCCCCTGGCCCCAGGGTATCAAAAAAGGCCATATTCTGCCGCAGGATGGCGGATAGATACGCTGTCCGCAGGGCACGAGCAATACGATCACCGGCATAGTAGAACCCGACCGTCGCGACGTAGGTAAGCACAAACAGCGCGATACTGAGATAGACATAGTACAGCGAGAACGTGGCGATCTTAGAGCGGAGCTCGGACGCCTCGACAGTGCCGGCCTCGAAGCCGTCGAAGACGCTGACTAGGAGACCGTAGATGACTGGCACGAGCGGGTTCAGGGCGCCAGCTAGGATTGCGCAGATGGAACTCACAGACAGAATGGTTCGGTCTGAGATGGACGCGTACGTTAAAACATTGTGTTTTGGTGATGTTCCATTATCTAGGCCGTGGAGCTGACGGTCTAGGATAACGCGCTGGCGCTCGCGCTCAGGGTCGTCCTGCTGGGAGGCTATACAGGAGGACATTGCGTGGGTAGACGGACAAGTATAAGAGAGGGGCAGGGAATTAGCGGTTTCATCCGCGAACGAGAGCTGCTTGCTAGCCTTTAAGTGGCTGAACTAGGGCCTCAGATTGCGTGATAACCGCGGAATCTATGGGGGAGCTCTGTATTATTATCTGTTACTACTATACTACCTAGATGTATAGCTAAGGATTAAGCCTTCGGTCCGAATGTAACGTCGGCCCTAACTCCATATCCCGACACTGCACATCCAAGCCTCTCACTAACGCACATAGACCTTTTACGGACTGTCCAGGTAGATAATGGTTGAGGATATCGGTAGCAACCATTGCCACTGACCATTGTCCCTAAATAAAAGAATACCTAACCTCTTCCCTCACCTCCCTCGCCAACCTCAACGCCTCCGCCCGTCCCACACGCGAAAACACATTGAAATACGCCAAAAACGTATGCTTCCCTGTACTCGGATGTCTCACCTTCTCCCCGCGTTTCACAAGGGTCGCACACCGACTAATACTCTGCCCCAAATCTGGTCGGCGCGCAATCAAATCCGCGCAGATATCGTCGCTGACGAAGATCCCCTCGCTTTCTATGGAGAAGTCCGCCGGGATGAAGACCATGATTGCTGTATATTGGGGGCCAGATTTGTAGGGAACCGCGAGGGCGCGAGCTCGGGGTTTGTCGTTGACGCCTAGGATGGCAGCCAGGGCCCAGTAGTCGATGCCGTAGGTGGATTCGATGATGTGTGAGCCGGTCATGCCGAGCGGGCGGGGGTTTATTTCGATTAGCCAGGCTGAAGGTTGATGGGACCGGGAGACATCGTTGCGCTGGTGCAGATCGATGATGCCGTTAGCTTCACGGTAGTCCATTGTCGAGTTCTCGACTCGGCCTTCTAGGTGCATGACCCCGTTCCGAATCCCCAGGGATGACAGCGTGCCTGCAAAGCTGGTAATGAGGAGATCAAGTTCTTTCTCGGGAAGAGCAGAGGGGTAGACGCTATTCAGCTCGTGGAAGTTTGTTAGTGAGCCTACGGTTGGCCCGTTGATGTCGGCGGACTTAGGAAGGTCATCGCAGACCTCTGCGAAGAGAATTTCGCCATCTAGAAGGACTAGATTGACGTCTACCTCGGGACCGGAGCAGTACCGCTCTATTACAAATTCAGTGCCATGGCGCAAGGTGTCGATGGACTTGATAGCGGCTGGGAGCGCATCGGGAGTGTCGACTCGGGATACACCTTCAGAGCTCCAGCCGTCGCATGGCTTGACAATAAGCGGATAGGGGAGATCCACCTTCTCTGCAATGGCGAACGCTTCATCAAGGCTGCTTGCAGAGTATGCCTCGTGGCCCACATGCTTGCTCGTGAGAAACTTATTCGTCGCGATGCGGAGCGAGTCCGGCGGTGTCGTCTGCAGCCCAAGCACCGGCGCGATCTGCGCAATGTAGTACCAGAACGAGTCAGCGAATGTCACGATCCCATCTACGGGTTTCCCATACGCCCGCAGCGAGGCCAGGATGTGGCTCCCTACGTCGGGTTCCGGCGGGTTCGTCAAGCGCGTCGGAATGAATGCCTCACGCCAGTGGGTCTGTGCCGGGTCCTCGAGCCAGTGCCCTGCATTCTCTAGCACCACTACGTTGATGCCTAGCTCACGCGCGGCGCGGTAGAAGCCGAGCCCGTCTTGAGGATGGGCGCTGTTAGCGTCGACTAGAGCCAGGGTCTTGCGTTGGGGGGTGCCGGGTTGGATCCAGGGGAAGGAGAGTCTGTTGTCTAGGTCTGACTCGACCGCGTCGCTTCCCGGTGTGCTGTCAGGGTAGAGGATTAGGCCGGCGGTGGCAGCCGAAATGAGTGTTGTTAAGTCCGTTGAAGTCGAGATGGAAACACGTTGGCCGTTGTAGGTCTGTAGCGGTTGGGCGAAGGAGATGGCCGACTCGATGTGCTGCGAGTCGCGGAGTCGCAGTGGGATGATATTCGAGCGGATTATGTATCCGCTGTGGAGCGGGACAATCAGTTTCACGGCGCGTTTCCCTGACGCGGCTGCTGCACGAAGAGTCTCCCAAAGAAACTGAAGTGCTGCTGCGGAGCCCAGAGCAGATGCCGTGATCTCTGCCGGCGCTTCGTCATTGCACACTTGATAGATGTAGGCATCTTCGGGGGCCGCGAGGACATCGGCTGTTTGAGAGGTATGGCCCTCCCATAGCAAGAGGTCGATGGACTGCCAGGTTCGCTCAGTGTTGGGGACATCTAGAAGAGACCACCAGTACTCCCGGACGAGGTCTATGAAGTGTTAGCAGGGTCCATTTCAGGCTGTGGTACGTAGCTTAACCTCATCTTTCTTCGACCGGACTTGGACTCTGTGCGAGGTGGGCATGGTACATATAGTAGTAGTATAGTATTATATGATGGATCAAGAATGCAGACCTTCGCGAGATAGTTGTGACAGGGCAATGTTGCCATGATGACTTGTATCTTATTACCTGCCATCCCATGGCTTTCCGATGAGCTCGTCATCAACGAGACGCCGAGGTTACCCGAGACCTAATACCTAATAATACTCCAACTAAGGGGGTTTTCGGACCGAATGTCAGCGCCCGAGTTCGGTCCGAAAATTAATTTTAGGTAGGGTTTCAATTGGCCAGACATGTCTAGCTTGGTAAATAATCTTACTGTGTATCAATACGTCTATGTGTGTGAAAAGCCCTAAGAAGATCTAATCACGATTCACAGCTGTCAAGTGCCTTCTCACAGGCAGCGTCCCAATCCTTCCTCAATCACGTAGAACCCTAGACAAACCAAATTAGCATGGATCCAATCCGTCAAGGATATTTCTTTGATAGACATACCATAGAACTCTTTCTCATCCACCCAACAATCTACCACCACACCCCCAGCCTCCTCACAAACACTCACCATCTTGCTCCTCGGCCACTTTCCACTCCTTATAGATCTCATCACGTCTCCTTTCCTAAACTCAAATCTCTCCCCCATCACAGTGACCACTAAATCTCGCTCTGCAACATAAAAGCTCTCATGCATCCATGTGTTCTGATTCCATCTGCCCCGGAAACCCCAGTCCCGTGGATCAAACACCTGGGCTCCGAGCAGTTCATTCGCATGTGCGAGCCCGTTCATCACGAATTTCTGGTTCGCGGGTCCTTCGTACGCCCGTGCAATTTCTGATTTGTCCTTGCTCCCGTCGACAGCGACGATTAGGGACGCACCTGTGGAGAGGAAGGCGCGAATATAGGATGCTGCGTCGGAGGTGGTGTAGTTTGCCATGCTGTTGCCAAGCCACATTAGGGTTGTTCGGCTGCCATTGCCGTTGGGGCTTGGACTGTGCTGGAGCCAGGATGCGCAGTCTTCGTATGTGGCGACGAGGCCTCGGATCCGGATCCCGCCTGAGCTTGTGGACGGGAAAAGTGATTGCAGGTAGCGGATGCCGCGTTGGAGAGCGACGCGGTCGACATCACAGGCTATATAGGTGATGCTCTTTCGTTGGGACTGCAATGCACGGAGTATGAGGGCGGTTTTTTTCATATTCCTAGACTCGCTTATCAGCTGAAGACTCGAGCCAAGATTTTTCCTTCTGCCTTTCAGAACTCTTGCAAGTCACTCACCCAGCACCCAGCTCAATCAGTCTATCTCCCGACTGAATTGTCGAGACGATCTCATGTACCGCTGCACAGAGCAAGGACCACTCCCTTCTAGTGAGATAATAATCCGGAGACTCGAGGACAGCATCGAAGAGGGACAAGCCACAGTCGTTCCAGAGCAGGAGACCGGGTAACTCGCGTTCCTTGCTTCGAAGGCCGGCGAGGATCAGAGGGACGAGGCTGGTGGGTGCTGTCTGACGACGGATATCGACGAGCTGAAGACCCCTGGATACATCGGCGTTGTCCTGGGTGTGACCTTGACCCTGACCCTGGCTTAGATGGGCCTTTAGGTCTGGGAGAATCATTTGAATATGGCTTGCCATTGCTATCGAAGTGTGACGAATGTGGGTTGAGGCGGTGGTGCTGGTGGTAGTTCAGCTTCCTGTAGATATGAATGCTGAAGAGTTGCCAGGGTCGTCGGAGTTGATAGACCCTCTTCTAGAGGAAGGCATATGGGCACCCTCGGTGCTTATGGTGTTTCCGCATCCCGATATCACGTCAAAACTGTATATTCGGCTGTCTATCTAAGAAGAGTATATATAATATGTCATGTGGATTGGGTTCCTGATGTTTTTTGTGCTTGCTGCCCCATGCCAGTTTTCTATGCTTTCCTGAAGACGATATATCCAGAACCCATCATAGATTCATTGCATTACTCTCAGATTCGACTCAATGATAACCATAGCCCTAGCCAGAGACTTAGCTACACTGTGTAGGCATCGGATTTGTTGACCGAAGGTCGGCGTCTACGTTTACCATGCATGAATGGACCTGGAGCATTCTACCCCCCGACGACACTCGGAGCCCTAAATGAGTGAGGGCGCGGGATTCGGTCTCTAGATTTCGGTCTCCTCATCCCGACCTCATCTACCGACCGTCATGAGGGTCTCCTTATGGCTGGAGGATTGCACGATTGAAATCACGGCCCGTGTTGGATCCTTGTCTTGCCAGAGCAATCTTATAAAGCGTTTCACATGGCTACCATATGGATGTGATAGACGCTATCCTATCCACTAGTATCATTCTTCAGACTACGCACCGAAATGTCTCTCCCAAGCTCCTTCATCATCGTCGGCTCGGGCGTGTTTGGCCGTACGTACACTACTATGCCTCCCCTCCCCCTTCTTCCCTCAGACCCACAGCAAAGAAACACACTACTAACAAATATCCCCACGCAGTCTCAACAGCCTACGCCCTCTCCCTGCACCCACAGTTTGCCGCCACAAAGATAACCCTAATAGACCGCTGGGACTTCGAACCCCACACCCCAACAATATCCCTCCACAACCCCACTTCCTCAAACGCAGACACCACCCGCGTCATCCGCCGCGATTACCCACATGGCCCCTATGCCTCTCTTGCCGCGGAAGCCATGACCCACTGGCGCGGCAAGTTCGGCGCAGACCAGCGATACGTTCACCAACGGCTGCTGTTTTCGGGGGAGGGGTCGAGTCTCTCGATCCCGGAATTGAAGAAGGGTGAGACGGTGAATTATATCAAGAAGGCTTATGAAATTAGTTGTACGATGACAAGCGGTGGGAAGGATGTTATACAAGTGGTTGATTCGTTGGACGAGATTAGAGGGCTGCTGGGGAATACGCCTACTAGGCCAGTGCATTTCCCGGAGACGGTGGATGCTCACGCGATCGGGTTGAGGGGGTATATCTCTGAGGACTGTGGGTGGGCGGATGCGGGGAGGAGCATTGAGTGGTTGAGGCAGGAGGTACGGCGGCTGGGGAAGGTGGAGTTTGTCGTTGGGCAGGTTGAAGAGCTGGTATACAGCGAGGATAAGGCGGAGGTAAAGGGGGTGAGGTTAGGGGATGGGCGTGAGCTCACGGCCGACGTGACGGTCGTGGCAGCAGGGGCGCGCTCCTCACAGCTGCTGAACGTGCCGAAACTGTGCGATGTGTACAGTGAGTTTGTGGCCTATATCCAGCTCACAGATGCCGAGGCCGATGAGCTGCGCCGCCGGAACTGGCCAATCCTGGTCAACTGCCACCGCGGCGTGTTTGCCGTGGGGCCAGACCACGAGAATTGCCTGAAGTTCGGGCATTTCAGTTACAGCGGGATTGCAGACGTGCTCAAGGAGGCCGGGATTGATGTCCCCACGAGGCCCGACGGCTGGGAAGCGCAGCAGAAATACTGGAGCGACCCGCGCTTCGGGTTCGGTGGAGACGTCCAGTTCACCCCTCTAGGCGACCTAGACGACTACGAGCGTGCCGCTGCACAGCGCGCACTAGCCGATTACCGACTCTTCCTGCTAGAGCTCTTGGGTCCGACGGGGTTCCAAGGCGTCGACGCGCCGTCCTTGGGCGGTTCAGATATCCTGCTGAACCATATCGCCAATCGGCCCTTCACGCGAGTGCGCAAGTGCTGGTATAACGACACGCCGGCGTTGGATTTCGTGGTGGATTACCATCCTCGCTATGGGAAGAGTCTGTTCGTGGCCACAGGTGGGTGTGATCATGCGTTCAAGTTTCTACCGATTATTGGGGAGAAGGTAGTTGCGTTACTGCTGCGGAATCGGGGGCATGCTGGGGGTTTGTTGCCGGAGGGGGTTGAACCCTCGTTAGAGGAGCTTGCGAAGCTGTGGCGGTTCCCACTGGAGCTGTTGCGGGAGCAAGAGAGCTTAGAGAGGGCAAAGCTTTAATCTATAGAACCGCTATCCGGTAGGCGGGCTCCATAACGCCGCTCACCAAGAATGCTTACTCTGTACTTTTTCTCTTGTGTCCTAAGCCGAACTCGCTCTATTATATATAAGTTGGAGAAGCCGCTCAAAAGTCAATCTCACTCAGCGTCGCCTGAATCTCCTGTATCAAGCTCTTGACCCGTACCTGACTCTTCCCGCCCCTGTAGCCGTCCCCAGAGCCATTCTTGTCCCGGTCACCCTCTTCAAACAGCATGTCCACCAGCCCCGTAGCGAGTTTATCTTGAATAATCCCACCGCCACATCTACCACCACCACCTCCTCCTCCTCCTCCTCCTCCTCCTCCCTGAGCAGCTGCAGACCCAAACAATAGCCCCTCCACCTTCTCAAGAAGCGTATGACTCACGTTTAGCAAGCACTCCAGTTGTAACGTGCTATGTCCGTCAAGCTCAAACCCGTCAATCCGTAACCCGCTAAGTGTAGGCGGGATCGTGGGCGTCGGTCGTGTGATGGCCTCAATTATCGACAGGAAGATGTCTTCGTATGACGCCAGGATCGATGTGTAACAGAAGAGGATGGAGAAAAGGGTTGGGGGTGTAAGGGCTGGTGTAGGCGTAGCTGTAGTGGTAGATATACTATACCTGTTGCGATTGGGACCGGATACCTGGCCCCGGACCCGGGCCTCGTCGACGGCAATCTCGCTGTCATCTTGGGGCCGGGAATATCTGATCCGTTTCAGGATTGAGACGAACCGCTGACAGTGGTGGAGGGTTTGGCCGATGGAGCGCTGGTTCAGGGTGGGTTCATGCTCGTCCGGCCGTTGGGTCAATATATATTCGCGGTGGAACTTCTCCCGCAGTAGCGTTTCGTGGAGTTTAGCAAGGTCATGGATAGATGACCTCGTAGGAGTGGCAGTGGTGCGTAAGGGAGTTAAATCTAACCGCCGGGATGGCGGGCCGTGGCGGTGATTGTTCCCTCCGTCTAGTGTAGTCAGTTTGCGGACCTTCGACAGCGTTGGGCTGGGTGGGAGTTGGATGAGGGCACTGGGGTATGTGTCCATGCTGATGGGATCTGGATTCCAGTCTTCTGGAGCAGTCGGGTTTATCAGGTCGAGCATCGTGTGGTGGTTCTGCTCGTGGATGTTGACCGGTACTGGATCCTGGTATAGATTGGAGTTCGATTCACCGATCAGGGGTGGGGTCCCTCCCTCCAGATCTTCGTCGCCGCCCATTCTATCCTCGTGACTATATGTGATCCAGTCAGGGGGCATGGGTGGTTGGACTGTCGAAAGACGGTCGTTCGGCTGATCGTTGCCGGGAAACAAGAGGCCATCCTGCTGGACTCTTGGCGCTGAAACACGAGCAGCGACACTCGGGGGTTGCGAAAAGACTGAAGAGCCCCGCGAAGTGTACGAAGATGTGGACCGTTCAGAGGACGGCGGGGTGGGATTCAGCGTGGTTGAGTGAGTCCTCCGCGGGGCGGGCCGCACGGAATAGCAATCCACCTTGGCTCGTCGGCATCGGTCACAAGGGATGGCGTTCCTTAGCACCCGACTAGTCGGGTTTGCGATTGGCTGGGCCGAGCCTACACAGCGCAGCTTCTGGCCCCGGCAGCGGTCACAGGCGCCGTGGCGGCTGGTGCCGTTCTTGTCCATAGTTCGGGTTCAGTTGGGAGGAGGGCCTGGAGGCTGGAGGTGCTTACTGACTTGACACTTGACGGGGCTACCGCGGTTTAATAGTAGTGATCGTGGTTCAGGGTAGGTGGGGGCTGAAAAAGGATACCAGGGTATATGCTCCCCAGAAGTTACGATAACCGAGGACATGGTCTGACTAGTATATAAAGTACGTACTCCGTACGGACTCCGCTGGCGGCTGACGCAACCCTAGACTAACAATCCGGACCTATTAGCCAATTTTTAGCCAATAGAATCCATCTACTGCGCTGCCGCTAGTGTTGGACCGGTAAATAAAGAAAGAATAGACTAAATTTGGCATGCCTACGAATGCCGACCATGTGCACAAGTCAAATGAGGCTCTGTTCTTTTCACAGCTACCATTAAACTCAGGCTTGGCACAAATGGTGCAGCTAAAATATTACATCATACGAGACAATTCTTTTGTGACCAATATCGGAAGGAGAAAACAAAGGTAGATTATCATACCCTTCACTTCTGCATAGCCATTGGATGTAACCAAAGGAAGCCACATAAGCCACACGCCGGGAGGTTAGTAGTTGGATGGTCACTAACCACCAGCGAATGCCTCCTGTTGTATATTTTCTTTGGTTTTTATCCTTATTATTTGGCGATACTGATTACAAGTAGGGCTTTGTCTTCACACGTTTACACGCAGGGACTTCGGAATCAGAGCAATAGCTAGTCCCCTGGCCAATGACATAACTGCTCCACAGTGGCCAGTGATAGAAATTCCCTAAGTTGTTAATAACAATGAGAAGTATAGGGGCGTTGCTCTAGATATATAAGTATATATACAGCCATCTCTTCCCAATGGTCTAATCACTAAAGTTGCCGAAGTTATAGTACTGTATCATCGAATATATAGGATAGACCTTGTCCCTCTACTATAAATACTATAATCAGAGAAAAGAACTAAGCAGACCGGAAAAGACATTCAAAGAATGTTGTTTTGATCCTCCCACAGTCTCTTCTCGAGGCCGGCGTGGTCGAGGCCAAAGGACTAACTATTGATCCGAAGCCCTTGCGTGTAAATGGGCGAGGAATAATAAAGCGGCATGGACCTAAGCAATCATCAAAGTACGTAAAAAAAAAAAAAAAAAAATACGACAGCATTAGTACGACAGTGTTCACCTAAGGCTAGTCGTGGCTGTCTCGCCGCACTTAGTGACCTTTTAGGGCCTCCTTCAGTGACCTAAATATTCTTCAACCGAAGGACCAGAGAGCGCATTTTTATTGTATACTTAAAAAGGCTGCCGCCGTAGTAAATAGCGATAGACCCATTGCAGTACCTATTCGAACTTTATTCTATTTTATCAGGACCCACCTAGGCCTAGGAAATGACCGCAAAGACCAAGGATCAGACCTCACCAAACTGGACCATACCGGTCTTTCCAACTCTCAGGACCGCCAGGCACTTCTGGCTCTCCTAGAACCGTACTACTGCGTCATGATCTGTTCTAACGGTTCTATAACCAAGATAAACAAATTTAATACCACAGTATAAATAAATTATACAAAACCAGTCTAGATTTAGAGTGGCATAACCTAGCCATAACCCAACCTAACCGCCCTCGGTTAGAAGGCATAAAATTCCTTAACCAGCCTAGATATGGATAGGTTATTGCTACTGAATGGCCTAACATCTTGTTTTAGAGTATAAGAAGCCAAACGAGCATTTTCTTCCAAGGTTCTTCGCAAATGCATGACTGAAGAGTTGGAGATAGTTGCCATTGCAGTCTCCACCCTGGCACAACCTTGGGAGCTCGCTATTTGCGCCAACGTTCATCATCAGAGACCCAGGGCTTTGGGGCCAGCATTCTGAGACATAGCTCCAGTTCTGTCAATATATTCATGGGGACCCTGAAGCCCAGACGACTGCTGCATTACTCTAGTGTCAGAGGCCACTGGTGACTGTCGGAGCTCTGCTTTCTGCCGTAGCAAAGCTTGTCCATTACCTATAATTTACTACCTTGTTGCTTAGAAATCCCTGCAGACTGCAGCTCATGGGTGACGCCTCAGATTAAGTCATTATGCTAGGAGGATGTATGGGCGTGGAGGTAAAGCAAACACTGAGTATGCATTTGCTTCGTGAACAAGGCTGCATTGGGGTATAGTTGCTCTGCAAAGCAACTCTAGAAGGTGAGATATTAACAGATGTAAGTTACTATCATCCAAGCATTGTTATTTACTAGCGGTCGTCACGCAGCAGGTGTATATTAACTATGGGCATCTAAGACCCTTATTTGCTAAATTACTGTCCTCAAGGTTCCCAAGTGCACTTCTTTAGCACTCAGAAGTAGTGTTCTCCGATGATACTAAGCACGATAGTCCTTATTTCATATCACACGGAAATGTATAAAGGGATGTCATGGCACCTGTAACACTCCATTTATCAGCAACAGCCGTAAATATCTCTTGCAATCCTCCAACCTTCCAGTGAAAGCCATTTCAATCTTTCAAAGATTCTTCCACCTTAACCAGCAAAATGAAGCTGACTTCCATCACCGCTACCGTTCTGCTCGGCGCTCCCGCTGCCCTCGCAGCTCCCCAGTCGAACGACATTGGCTATAGTACTGAGGACGTCACCGTCACCGACGTCAAGATCAACATCAGCGCTGACAACATGGTGACCGACGTCTCCCTCAAGCTGTCCAGCTCCGACGCCAAGAACCTGACCTGCTCCACCAAAAGCCCCCAGCTCAGCATTCAGTCCGACGCTTCCACCCGCTGCGGCAACAGCCGCTACCTGTTCAATCTGGTCGACACCGGTCTCTCCAGCTTTGACATCGCCGTCATGCATGAGTACGATGTTCAGTAAGTAATCATGAACTTTATCCCTTGGACATCAACCCCCAAAAGAGTGAAAAAAAAGCTAACCACTCAATGTCCCACAGGGGCTCCGGCGAGTACTCTCCTGGCCAGTGGGGACAGGGCCATCTCAACCTCAATTGCAAGAGCAACAGTAGCGGTCATATCTGCGCCTCCTCCGGTCCATCTTCTCTGTTCCTTACTGGACAGTAAGCTATTCAACGGTCAGCATCAAGCCGTGTGGAGTGATCGCTACGCCGCTAGAACCAATCCGTATGGCCTTCTCCTCGTGCTTCCTTGTGGGGATGTTTGTCGCGATTGCATGTATTGCTCCACGTTTATGAGCTCATCATGGACAATAGTCACTGGTTTTGTTGGAAACTCTGCTGTTATTTTTGAGTTCTGTACCTGTTTGGTCTGGCCGTGCTGGGGAGGACGAGCGATTTCTGAAGCGACATAAAGATGATATTGATAGCAATGTTAAATATGACAAATACTTCAAAACATTAGCTCAAAAGATTGCACAGTACCAAATTCGACCGAAGACTATGTACAATATCGATGAAAAAAAGGCTTTCTTATCGGAATCTTACAAAACGGCAAAAGAATCTCTTCACGTCGCCAATTTGAGTAAGATAGCTCCGAGAGACACCGAAAAATTGTCTCTTTAGAATAGATTACTTATAGTTGCGCTGACAAGGCCTCGCCGACCCCGGGATTGATATATAAAGCTGCTTCAGGCGATATTGGAGATTCCTGGGTACAAGATTTCACTCCAGAGAAATACCACTGTTTACCTGCACCATCACCATCTGGCTAGGCAAATCACGATCTAGGATACGCATGGCTTACGAATATCTTTAATAGAGATACTAAAAGTAAAGCGCGGCGGCGCTGGAGACTTGTAGTTCTCGATAGCCATGGTTCTCATGGCAGTACACGCTTTCTTAATTACTGTATGGACAACAAGATCTTTGTAATAAGCTATCCACCCCATTCTACACATACAATCTCTGTATAGAGAATATCTTGCTTAAGAATAGGTGAAGCGGCTTTGAGAACACCTTGGTCAATGAAGGTAAGAAGCGGCAGTGAGGAAATCCTCTACCTTTGAGCTTAGCGCTCCTGAAGATGATTATGCAGTGTTCTACTCGCCTAAGTTCAACAAGCGCTGCAACTTCAGGCAGCCAAGGATCGTGAGATAGAGCTTGCTGAAGCTCCAAAGGAGCAGGTCAAGCTCCGCCGTCATCAGGAAAGGGAGGAGAAACAGTGCTCACTTCAAGAGGGAGAGCGAAATCAAGAAACTCAGCGTGCAAAAAAAGCAGCGGGAGAAAGAGGAAGTGCGGATTGCCAAGAGACGCAAGCCAGGACAGCTAAGCATTCTAATGTTCAAAATACTACAGATATCGCTCCTACCTTGCTTGATGAGGTTCTCCAGACCCCTACGCCTCCAAATCGTCAAGGCCAGTAGATCCGTCTCCCACAACGCTTTCGCGATGCTTAAAAGCTGAATGTAGCAACTTTAGAACCTCAAAAAACCTATACCAAGATATTTAGTTAGTATATTAATACTATCTGGCTCAAAAGATTCATTTTGTTTGTTCGTGTGCAGAACGTTGAAATCGGGCGGCAGATGGGCGACAACGTTAAGGTACGCTGGACAAGAGCGTTACCATGAAAAAGCCAAGCCTGAAACAGCAGTCTAGAGGCATCTCTCCAAAAAATAGATCCCTGACAGTAAAGAATCACCCATCCAGCGAGTCTCGCTAAACATAACAAAGGACACCTATATTTAGAAAGAAAGGTATTATGGAAGGACTAGAATATAAGTTTATGTGTCGGACAAGTCAAAGATAAGAAGGAAATGAGAAAAGGCATGGAACATTCTGCCTCGTTTCCGTCAGAGCAATTCGCCTATGAAGTGTTTTAGTTGGGTTCCTTATCCCATGGGTAATTTGACAATGTTGAATAATGCATGGTAATTGAAAGCCGAAGTCCAGGGTAAAGAAAGAAGGAAAGTAGACGTAGCTCTCGGCAGGGATGAAATGAGGAAGCTGAAGGAAAGGCCTATTTTGTCTCAGCCAAAGCTAAATTCTTCTATGTCGTGAGCTCGCTATAAACTTTAGCTAAGACCTACCCATTATTTATCTAGTTCTTTACATGGAGATCCTGTGACTCTGTATAGTAAACAGCTCTTTACTCAAATACGAAGGATTAGACTGAAAACACTTGGATATTGAATATCATTGACGAATAAACAATGGGCTCCGTATAGTCCTCGTATTGGGGACAGAAATTACTTGCAGTAAAGTGGTAAATGCTTTGATTTCCTTGACCCCCACCATGATGTCGACCTAACTTTCCGGGAGGTGCAACAAGGATTCAAAGTTTCCACAGATAATCTTTATCTCTGATCCCTCGCGAAGCGCCACATATAGTCATTTACGAGTCGACCTTCTTGGCAGCCTTGTAGCCATTTTTGCGGTCGTCTCCAAGAAAGCCGAGGATGAAAAACTCTATTCACCTGGTTAAAATCCTATCAGGTGGTAATACGGAGTTGTTCTTACCAGCGAGGCTCAACTTCTGGTCTCCAGTCACCTCCGCTTCGGCGAAATCGGCTTCAAGTTGCTTGTAAGTTTTCTCATCATTAGGTCTCCAGTGCTGGCATAGTTCTTGCAGGGTAATGTGTCCTGAAGGTGCGGTCAGCTTTCAACGTATTATTTTCGACTCTCATATTTATATCTTACCATCACGATCATAGTCCTATACAAAGAAGTTGTGGGATTTAGCAGCTTGGAACAACTCCAGTGTTGTTTATGACAAGGGTTGAACGTACCGCTTTATAGAAATCAGCAAGAAAGTCTCGAATAAGGTTCGAAGAGTAGTAGATGTCCTGCAATTTATGTCAGTGGATTTGGTTGAAGTACCAGTAAATCCATAACCCTTGAATAATTTCTAACCTTCGGATCCTGCTGCAGCAGCTCATCCAAACAAGCCTTCTTGGCCTTGTCGATTCCTTCCTGGTTTTTGAGCTCCTTCAGCGCCGCCGCCCTCCCAGCGTAGTAGCCCTCGCTGTAGCCAGCTTTTTTGCCAACCTCGTACCACGACATGACAATAGCTGTAGTTTCCTGAAAGATTTCTAGGACAAGAGATATACTCGAAAAGTGAGGAAAGAAGCTAGGGTGTATGATGAGATATAACTGTTTTGAGAAATGAGACATTACCACTCACCTCAACGAGACTCTCCTTAAATATTCGTTCCCTTGTGCACGGACGCGCGTAGTATGCCCTCTCAAGTGGATGCCAGGTGAAGAAAGATATGCCATTGTGGGAAGTAGCGTGCAGTTGCCCAGTCAGCCTGAACAACTGCAGGTCTGCATGAAAGCGTAAAGATATCATTGGTACAATCCAACCCACCCTGTACGATTCATGTCGCACACCCACCACACAATTTTGGGATCGACGTTGCGACTTCCAGTATGGAATGGAAATTACCTTTTCTCCCTATACTGTCCTTAGTCTATAAATGGTGACCTCCAAAATAATCCCCGTCCTACTTTACAATCTAAAAAGGATGTCATGAAGAACAGGAAAGGCTTCCTCCATGGTCTCCAAGTTACTGAGAGGGGAAGCACGTTGACTTTAGAGTGGATGCTTCAATGGTAAGACTTGCAGATATGTGACAAGGCTATAGGAGGGATCGAGTATGATCTGGCCACGTCATGCACAAAAGGGCTGCATATGATGAAGCAAAGCACCACTAAACGGAAAAGATAGCAATTTGGTGTGGGTCGGGCCGAGTGAAGATAGTGGGGTAAAGATCAGCTCAACATATTCGGCTAAAGGTATTCAGCAGTGATGGGGCTTCAAGAGTTGCATTCAGTTGCCATACTATTAAATTCCACGAGGACATTGTCGGAAAAGCTCTGGTTTGATCGAGTTCCATGTGGGAGCCAACTTTCTACCTGAAAATGCTGAGGCTTGTGTCCAAATGGAAGTTTGGAAATTGAGTCTCGACTCTCATGATTACCTGAAATGCTAGCTGCAGGATACAAAGTGGTGGAGCTATGCACCATGTGTGGGTGCCTAACAGCTCATCGAAGCTCTCTTCAACCAGGGCAGATGTCTACCAGTGGTTTAATTGCTTGCCTAACCTCGCCACATCAGACCCTCGCTACATGCACTGCGGTGGACCATACTACCCCTCGCATCTAGACCTTTGTGGCCAGGGAAGCACACCGATGCTGAATCTATTGTCGAGTCTGTGCACTCACTCACCAGAGTGAGTGAGCAGGCTTCCATGATTCCATCTCCGGCATTCTCCTGAACCCCCGCAATGGAAATAGTTGCGATGGACAAATGAGCAGTTCTATCGATTCAGACAGTGCATAATTTTATAGCACTGTGTATTATGAACAAAACGTCTACATGGGGCGCGCTTAGGGGTTGGTGCAGTAGATAAAGCCCTTTGCCTGTATAGCTTTATCTACAGTTGATTAGGTTCCCCTCAAAACCCTCGCCGAACCCGTCCCGAATGTAGCTCAGTTCGAGTCTAAATTTAAATAGGTATGGTACATGGTAACTACCTAATATCTCATCTATTTAGGCATAATAGCAGGTTTTTGGACCTTTTTTAGGTTGGGTCAACCTAAATCAGCCCGGCTTCGGGGCAGGCGCGGCCCTTTACTATGGAGTTTATATTAACTAGTATTTTTACAGAGTAATATCATATTTAAATTATAGCTACTGGACCAGAACTTATTGCAGTGATACTGTGATAGACATAGTACGGCAATAACGTGGCAATCCAAGAGTCAACGACTCAACTGCTCCACAGTAGCCAACGATAAGAATTTCTGTCCTCTAAGCTGCTGATTTTAATAATGAATATTGGGGCTTTGCTCTAAACACATAAGTGTATGGATTTTTCCATCTCGGCAGCCATCTCTCTACAATGGTCTAATCAGCCAAATTGCCAACGTTATAGTACTGTGTCATGGAATATGCAGGATGGAGCTTGTCCCTCTGCCATGAATACTTATAACCAAAGAAAGGGACTAAGACAACCGGAAAATACATTCAAAAAATGTTGTTTTGATCCCTTCACGGTCTCTTCCTACTCCCTTGTCAATCAGGTCGATGCCGAGCCGCACAAACTCCGATTCCTGCTCGTCCGTACAGGTAGGTGCATATACATTCCAGTAAAAGAAGTTCTCCCCAATTTGTGCCACGGTACGATAGGCCGCTTCCTCGTCAAGCGGGGGATAGGCACCAATCAAGCCCTGGATGATCGAAAGTGCAACCTTGGAGCCATATAAAATGTTCTGCATATACAGGTCAGCCACCATTTCGGCCACGTCTCGTGTGTAGTCTCCCAAGCAGCATGCTTCCCAGTCGATGACTGCCAGGGATGTGTCTTTCTCCTCGTCGATGGCTGATGGGTCTTGGATCAGGATACTGTTTTGGTATCCGTTAGCGTTCGAACAGTGGCCACATACTCTGGTCACCCAGAAACTCACTTTCGGGTTGAAAAGTCACCATGAACGATCACGTCCTTCCGTCCAAACTCTCGTGAGTGCATCAGCGCCGCGTAGTGTCCCAGATGTTCCGACTCGTACTGCTTTTGGATCGCCAGAAGCTTATGAAACCGGAAGTCCCTCAGGTTTCTGTCGAAACCATTGCTGTTTTGTTCAACGATGTTCCTCAAATCCGCGTCTACCGGGGTCTTCGACCAGGCGTGGAAGCGGGACAACCAGCTCCCCAGGGCCTCGCCCAGGGCCACGGCGGTCGATGCAGTGATGCGCTCTCGAGCAGCAGCCGAAGTCAGGAAGTCATGCAGTGTGCCATTTTGGGAAAAATCTTCGAATATTTGGGTCTGCTGGTCAGAGAGATATTGATATAGTTGGGGAACCTGGATCGAGATCTGTTTATGCTGGACTTGGTGAGATGGGGTACGCCCCAGCCCTCTGAGAATGGCCTGTTCTGCAAGCTAAAAACCAGCGTTAATTGTAGCTCTGTTGTGAAGTGGGGAGGGGGAATAGAATCTCTGCATGGCACATACGCATCGAGTCAGGGATAACGTGAGCTGCGGAATATTGGGATCCCTCTCTTCGCTATGCTTGATGATTACCGTGCACCTCCCATTCTGCAGGGGGTTTATCAGGGACCCTCGGTATGTCGCATTCAACAATCCCCCATGTATTCGCTGGACCGAGGAGCAGGCGTATAACGTGGGGCGGAGCGATTCGAGAATGTCACGCTTTGGATCATGGTTTTGCTCTTCCACTACTTGGATGGCCGGGGGCTTGACCGTTTCCATCGTGCCTGTGGTGTCCATGGTGTTGATATGCGGTCAATTCCAGCTCCAGTATTGTTTTTTTTTTTTTTTTCAAACAAAATCGTCTGGGAACAAATCATGGCCCCGCAGGGATAATAAATGCTGCGTAAGGTTAAAGGTCACGCGATCCAAGCGGTCTTCGTTATCTCAATCAGGCAAGCCATGTCGATCTTTTTACGATAGTCCCTCCACGCTCGTCCCGGTGTGGATCATTGTATCCATCAATATTGGCTACATTGCCTGACCGCCCCAACTTTTGTTCAATTTCTGAGCTTCGGTTTTTGTGATCCCCTCCGATCTGGTGGGGTCGGTAGATCGGTCACCATCCGAACCATATCGATTTGCACCTTGTGGGCATGCAGTGATTAAATATCCACCGTGAGATGAGCCTACCACAACGGTACCGAGACGGATGTGGCCTATTAATACTAACTATTAGGTTAAAACCCGATAAATGAAAAAGCTGTGCAATATATCTTTATTAATATAAGCTGCTGATAATGTTTTGTATTCTCTATTGGGAAGAAAAGTATGAATAACTTGGTGTCCCTCAATTTCCTCTAGGGTGTAATGATTGTTATTAATTCACTGCAAGTATATCTGGTGAGCTATTAATGCTTTTCTTTTCTTTCTTTTTCTTTTGCTTTTTTCTAAGAAAGGCTCAAACAGTTATATAATCCGTTTCCAAATACACATATCCAACCAACAGTGTACTGGTCTAGATTTAACATTTGAATACTGGACATAGTATAACTAATAAGGAAGTCGTCTAAATTTCCGACTTATATTATTGTACTCTTTCGTTTTCTTTTCCTGAAGGGAATGGCTAACCATGGAAGGCAAGAGACAGTACTAGGTATTCAGCTTCAGCTTTATTATTTGTTGAGAAGAAGGGTAACAAGAATGATGAGATTGTTGTATATATAATATATTTTATGGGCTTGTAATTCCAAATTTATTGTGATTTGTCCTATAGTTGATATTAACACATCGCTTGGAAGACACGCCCTCTTGGTTCAAACATAGTGCCGATCCTTGCTTTAACTGCATTCTACGAAGAGACATGTCTCTTCGGCCAAGCTCATATTGATGGAACTATATAAACTGTATGAGTCAATTCTAATGATGGCTGCCTTGAAATGCGGCAAGGGATGGGATGTGATCTGTTTTATATTAAATCACGATGTAATCTGAAACTTGTATTGCTCACTACCATACCTACCAGAAGGTATATCCTCCTTTTATTCTCGATTAAACATATTTTTTATCATGCAAAATTGTCGATGAACTAACGTCTCTATGGTACTGTGCTAACAAATTTAGGATCAACCCACGTCACCATGGTTTCTCTCCATCTTGCACTGATCTAAGGCCTGGCTATCGTACTCTACAGCTGAGCTATCCACGCCACCGAAATCGCGGACACGACCTCTCGATGCCCGATCTCATTCATGGAAAGTAACTAGCAGCTCTATCTCCTCGGCTATTGCGCCTTCGGCCCCGAGGATACAACACGCTTTACTCGCAATAAATGCGACCTCAAAGCATAAGCTGCTACAGATGACCTGTGTGCAATACTCCAGCAGAACAGTATATACAAGGATTGTTGGTAAGGTATCCAATAGAACTGTCGAGACTGAATTGCGCAAATTTGACCGAGGTGAAAGTTGAGCATCGACTGTAGCTATAATAAGGACTTCACACTAGGAGGTATGGAGGAAGAAAAGCTTTTACTTGGAGGTTCCTGGTATTCTGCAGTCGGCGCATTGTAGAGAGAGTGTGCTGAAGCAGCATGTCTGTAAGAACATGTTCCTTCCTTTCCATCAGTTGGATGGGCTCCTTTCTTTTCAAGAGTGAGGTGGACCACGAGTGAGATTCCTGGGGCCGACTTGGGTGTGTTTCATGCGTGAGTTATATATGCTGTTGGGCTTACCATGGACGGGGCGGTAATTATTAGTCCAGTCACCTATTGGAATGCAAAGACGGGTCTTGAGTTGTATCCCGTCCGTGGTGGTTGGCTCTTATATTAACCAGATGATTATTCTGAGATTGCGTTGTCTCCTTTATTATTAAACTGTAATTGTCTAATGAAAGGTTCACATCAAAATTTTCATTTTTTGCGCCCTCGCTCGGAGGGTTCCGATAAAACGATCCTCTGCCGCCTTCCATGAGCAGACCGGCTTTCGACCCCACCAGTAGATCCCAACGAACTAGACGGGAATGGCTCGGAATTGGATGGACTCGTGGCCAGTGCTATCAAACGACCCAAAATAGCGTATTCCAGTTTGAACTTCAGGCTGTATGCCACCGGTTTGAAGGTCACTTGAAGCGCATAGTACCCTGCGAATTGAATCCCGACCACAGCCACGTCGAGTATTATGATGAAGATATTGATAACCAAGAATTGACTAAGAATTTTATAGTGAAGTGGGCCGGGATGCAAGCGCAGCATCTTTGCCGTTTCCCACAGGTATATGCCAGAGATCAACAATTCTTGGACGCAGAAGATGACCAGCTGAACGCGCTCCATGATATTATACCCTCTCGCACATCGACTTGCCATGACTGCATTATTCGAGTGGCTCCCGTACAGGAGGACTGCCGTGGAGGCATGCAATATGATTGCGTCAATGATAATCATTGCAAGCGTCAGGTGGAGCACTCTGGGCGACCGTATGATAAGGTGTAATCGTGACCATAGAATGAGGGAATGGCCTGTTACCATACAGGACCAGCTCACAATGATCAGTGAGATCGAGAGATAATAGGTTATCCCGGGATAAAAAATGTAGAATATGTAGCCCAGGCATATTGGGAAGAGACTGAGCGACGCGATTAACAGGCTCCAGAAGTACCATCCCCGGTAGAACTTAAACGTCGATAGACAGAAGACGACTAGCTCAGCCGCATTGTACCAGGCGATGGCGACAAATACTGCTATAATATATTTCTCCACGGAGTTGAGGCTGCTATTCTTTGGATGGAACAGCTCGTCGCCCGGAGCCCGCGTGGTAAGGGTCGAACGACTGACTCCTGGGCCAGATCCCATGCATGAAACTGCGATTCAGGGGCGAGATGGGTGAACGAAGAGAGTGAAATGTTCCCAGGGGAGGTTGAGAAAAAGGAAGTATTACGAACTGAAAACTCAAATAGCCGATACGGCAGTGATCGAATGATCTAGACCAGAATCAAACCATGATCTACATACCCTGCATCTTGCAAATCGACGATCTGGTACACCGCAAGCTTGGCCGAACCCAATGAGATTCTTGTGAGAGTAACTCATCTGTAAAACCAGGTAGATGCTTGGTAGATGCCAGTCAGTGTAGGGAATTTCTTCTTTAGAAATTAGAACTCGCATCGTCAAGAAGGTTTGACATTGCCGAGTGAAACCTGAACACACGAGTTTTTGACGTCAAGACATGATCGACATATTTGATCGACTGCGAATCATTGTAACCGAATTGCGTCCCACTATTGATCTTGATGCCGTTAGTGGCTCGCATCCTGGATTTCATGGAACGTAAACCAAGGGTACAGCAGCCAAATGCGGGTATCATGCCGCATCAAGTGGAGGCACCGAGAAAATGTTAAATCTACCTAAGACAGGGGAACCGGCCAAAAGGAACAAGTCTATTTGAAAGGTTGTATCCAAGGGCCTTCTTTCTGTTAGGCCTTACCGGGGGAGCCTGGGGATTTTCTCTTCTCTTCTCATTTAACCGAAGTAGACGAGTTATGGCCTTGGTTTTCTCTCATATGATTTAATCTCCCGATAGCGTCGCGTTGGATGTTCAATCATATTATTGAGATGGCGTTTGTGGTTACATCGTGCGCTTTTCAATTTGTGGTCGGTAGTCCGTAGTCTATAAGCTAAGAAGCGAATGCCACTAATTTAGCACTAGAGTGGCCACACGGAGGAACATATACCATTCATAGTCATAAGAAACATCCGTGCCCACACAATCGGAGGGGTTGATATGGGCGTCACCCTGGCTAGTGCTTATTAGCCCATTTGACCGTGTGTCTTGCCTTGAAAAGCTTTGCACAGTAAAAACAATCAAAGCCCCGTGCCTTCCCCCAAAAATGCCATCTCACATCTGCGAGTACGATTCATCATGATCCTCCCTCTGGGGCGGCTTTCTGCCCTAAGACGTGTCTCCAGTCCCTACTTTTTCCTGGCGATCACTTGCCTCTTGGTTATGTTGACAATGATGGCTGCCATGAGAGACACGGTCGAGGACGAGGCGGGCAGTGGGATGACAGCGCATGGCCTTCTAGCGCCCACGCTCAAGGTCATGATTGTGGGTGACTCCATGTCTCAGGGCCGAGAGGGCGACTGGACCTGGCGCTTTCGCATCTGGGAGTGGTTTAAAGACCAAGGCCTCACTGTAGACTTTGTAGGGCCGTATAATGGCACAGCACAGTCGGACCTGCCCTCGCTACCGCCAACCCCCTGCCGCAATGAAGAGTCACATTGGAAAAGCGAGATTAGAACGAGTGGAGGATACGCAGCCGGTGTGTCGGAGGACTTTGATAAAAATCATTTTGCGATTTGGGGTCGCGCCGTCGCGATAGACAAGGGACTAATCTATGAGGTCCTCGCCGCCTACCCTGCCGACTTGATACTTCTGATGTTGGGTTTCAATGACATGGCCTGGTTTCACAGCGACGCCGCAGGCACTGTGGACAGCATGCAGACATTTATTTCGAATGCTCGTGCAGCTAATCCGAGACTTAAATTTGCTATCGCGAATGTACCCCAGCGCACCTTTATCAGTGGTCGGGAAGATCTCCCCGTCAGCACCAACATATACAATGCGTTGTTGCGAGAGGCAATTCCCGGCTGGAGCACCCTAGATTCACCAGTCCAACTAGTCGAGTTACACGAGAATTATGATTGCGCGCCGATAGCGTGTCCCGTGGGCTATGATGGTCTGCACCCAAACGCGCAGGGTGAATATCAGATTGCTCGGGCATTCACACTCACTCTGGTGAAAGATTTCAACATTGGGGCCTATCCGCTGTCTGTCCCTACTGTGTCTGGTGGGCCATTGTCTATATCATCCAAGTTTCAAGATGTTGGTAGTCTTCCGCAGGGGGTACCAGATATGATATTATGAACCGGCTACCTTTATGCCCAAGCCAATATGACCCGCCACCACTCTCACCCCGTCGATCTACGGTGTCACCAAGTATGACAACAGGCTCATATGCAGTAGACGTGCGCAGCCCATGGAAAGAGCCATCGGCATCATCGGGGTCAGGACAAGATCCTGCAGCACCTGTATGGGTCCATTGCTGGGACTCGCCAATGCTAGGAGCGACGACGTGTCCCTTAGGAACGACGACCTAGTGTATAGAAGACTTCAAATTTGGGTGAATGATGTTGATCCACAGCTACATCCGACTTCTATACACATTGAAGAAAGCTAGAATGTCATAATTATTTTTTTTCAAGAATCAAGTAGCCGGTTGGTAGACAAGCGGCTAAGTCGATGTAACCAAGAAAATGAGGTCGCATATCTTCTCTTAGTAAATTACAAGTACATGCAGCATATCGTACATCTGTCTCCCTAGGACCAACCGGTTTTTCACAACCTGAATTCCCTTTTACAGACACGCAGGAGCGACTCATTCAATTAAATAGATAGCAACTGAACTGCCCTTTGCGTCTTGTGATGTCTACTATATATCTCGCACTCACCCTGCCATTCAGCCTTTGGCCGTATTCAAGCCACGATAGATGGTATCATCCTAGTGTACTCTAACCCGAAGACTAACTATGCATGTTTATTGAATACCTGTTTGGATACAAAGCTGAACCCTCTTTGCATCTATAATCGATTTGCCAACTGTTTTCTCTTCCAAGCCATTCTCGTGAAAGGGGCTCTCTTAAATCGGAACCTCCAAAAAGAAAGTGCATAATGGGGTTCTGGAAGAATACCATTGCCACTTTCCTATTCATCTTTGTTCTAAATAGCTTTATTCACAATGTCTTTATTGCCAATGTCTTTGTTCTAGGCAATATAAATAGGCCCTTCAGGGCCACTCACATGCATAATGGGATCAAGACCTTCTCTCCACCTTATCTGACGTTTTGTCATTATATAAAAGCTCCCAAGCGCCCAGGAGGGTTCAACTACTCTTCTCTCGATTCTCGTTTGATTTATCCCTTCAACGAAGATCTCATCATCGATCTCTAAATCCCTTCTTCCTCTTTGTGGAGGTGCCCTTCTCAGGTTATTGATCTTGATGCGATGTATATGATGTCTTGCCCTCCTCCCACGCGACGAAGACTTTTACTTTTCCAAACGGCAAGGATATTTTCGCGAATCAGGACATAGAATATATACCATGTCCTTCTCAATCGACTATATTGACATACTGGCAAACTTCAGGCTGTGCTAGCTTTCTGAGCACCTCGACATCCCTGGATACTCATCCGTTATGCTGGACGTCTAATATCACTCCCACGCTCGCCTTTACGCCCCCGCTTCTGACTGTTACTACAAGGCACAGGTACGGTCACTTTGCGTGGATTGTCCCGCGAGCGTCAACCGCCTGTTCGATGCCACTGTGACTCTGATGTGGAGCAATTAAACATAGCATCTCACTCGGGAGATTGGGTTCTTGCCCTACACGGGCAAGACATCCCACGACGCATCCTGGACGATTATCAACCACGGAGAAGCAGAGATCGCCGTCCAGTTGGCGAGAGGTATTACACGGTGCTTTCGAGATCTCCTAAAGGTCTTTCTATACAAGCCGCAACCGGCTTTAGCCTCCTAGGAATGAGAAGTAACATACCCGGGAACGGAGACGAAGCATTGAGACTGCCGACGGGGTGCAGGAAGTCGAGGGGGCCATATGTATGTCCTCCCGAGGCATCAGATAATGACTAGAAATAACTTTTGCAGCAGTTCGCTGTTGAGCCTAGTGCAGGACGCCACCTTATCCATGTTTTTGCGACAGACGGCCGTATTGAGATGAGTCTCGATAGCTATGATAAAAAGTCCCTACTGCGTACCTATATGGGGTGTCGAAGGCCAGTGCAACGACTGTCACAAACCCGCAACCCACAGACATAATTGTGATCCGGTTTGTAATTGTGTGTCAACAGTTTCCACCAAGATACGGATGCCCTGATCTCTGCAATGCAATTCCTTGTCGTGGATGCTGCGGTTAAAGCATGACTTGAACTCTTGATATCACAATAATTCCCGATCGAGAATACATTTACTATACATACCTAACGAGTTAGAACCCGAGCACGAACGCTAAGCTAACCCCGAACGGCCGGGGACGGCGGCGGCCCAAATGGAAAACCTACCGTCCTAAAGAGAACTCAGTTCAGCTGTACTCGAACTATAGTAAGTGACCCAACCTGACTATGCCTAACGTGAATGTCACATGACCTTCTCGCCTTTTCTCACAACTCCAAGTCAAGTCCGGTTCAAAATTACTTACACTACCATACAGCTGAGTTCCAGGCACTATGGAAACTTTAAAGAAGCATGGAAGTATCAGTGGCGGTTCCGAACACCCACCGGCAGAAGGCGGTGGGTGTTCGGCAGCCTAAAGGAATTTTCAGTGTAAAGGAAGAAAATGAAGCAATTTGTATTATCACTACTAAATGTCTGTAGAATTAATAAAATAAAGCTAATTACCCGATTCCTCTACTAATCCTGTATCTGAAGCTATAGTTTCATTTTCTATATAAGACACTGGCGGGAGATAGCCGTACACTTTGAAATATACCTTATCCGCTGCTTTCTTATTTTTTCCATTATCTTTGGCCTTCCTGTCTGCAATAGACCGATTCGCATCCTTTATACACAGTATACTACTATCTCCAAGATATTAAATCTCTTGCTTAGACTTTTTACAGTTTCGGGATATCTGTGTAGCCTCAATTTATATAAGAGTTAAATTTATAATAGTAAACTGTTCAGATTAAAGCTTTTATTAATAAAACAAGCGGTCAAAATAGCACTTAATATAAGAATTATTTAGTATATTATTATTTAGAAGTTTAAATAGCTTTTTCTAATTCTTTTTAATTTACTGAGTACTTTTTAGAGATATATTCTTAATATTTAAAAACTGAGGATTTGGAGGCAGTATAGTCTCTCTATATATATATAAATCAGGTGCAGAGATCTTTGATAAAGATAGTAAAGTCTTCTGAATATCTTTAATAATTAAAAATCTATCTAGGGAAAAGATACTGTGTTCTTTAAAAGAGTTGCGAATAAGATACAGAGTAAAAATCTTCTTATATACAGTAATAATATTATATAGAAAATTTGCTTTATCTCCCGGGACTCTATACCACTGTGCAATATAATTATTTGTACTACG